TTGAGAATTTGCTGTAAAGGTAAATCATCATCAGCAGCATTTTGATGCCCACTGTTGTGCAGACAGTTATCCTTAAGGGTACTTGTGCGTTTTCATAATCGCTGTTTAATTAGGAAATTTTGAAAAATTTTCATGTTTTTCTTCAAATAAAAATTGTGCATAAGTTAACGAGTAATCTTCTAAGTGTTATACCATTTTGGAATCCTTATTAAATGCCCCAACTTTTAAGGTTACTTGCCAAACTCTCGTAGTACATTTTTTTTCCAGTACAGCCAGTTAAAGTTGAGCAAAGTTTTACTTTGGAATACTTGGTTGGGAAATAAGTGGCAATTTTTCCTGAACGAGAAAAGTTGGCAGTAAGGTTGAGACACCAGTTTGAAGATGCATTATACATCATTACATTGTAAAAATAAAATGCAAAAAAAGTTAATATTTGTAGTAACAGGAGTTGACAGACTGCCGTAGGGTGTGAAATTTCTATATGATTTTCAAAGACGTATAATTTTCAAAACACATACATAAAATTTTTTTAAATATTTTTCTGATAGCTGTTATGACTTTGCCTATCACCCGGTTTCGGCTTGAAGTCGACTTCTGGGACACCCTGTATATCGACTTACTAGTATGTCTAATAGGTATATTATCACATTCCAATAACAATAATTCATACTGTTATGACTTTATTGATTGATAAATTGTAGATTACAAAAAGTATAATCAAATTCAAGCGGATAACCAAATGAAAATAGTATTTACCATTTTGGGTTGGTATTTACCGATCCGTTCAAACCAGTGTGGTTATCAGCTTGGTTATAAGATCCGTGACGTCATGAATCAACTGTTATATGTCATAGTTATCACCGAAAAATTGTGGTATTTACCCAACTCGGGAGTAGTTTTATATTTCTGATTCTTATTTGAGATGTGATAAGTTTGAATTTTGCCGGGTATTGGATATTGTTATGGCACTTCAGCTTAATTTTTGGGAAACTTGATACAGGCTGACTTCAGTTTTACCATTAACTGGAGCACCTTATTAGTTATACTCATTACTGTTGTTGGGGACACTTTAAATGTAGTTCCTAAGCTTAACAAAGGATCCTGTGTAGCCATATACCAGAAGGATATTAAAATATGGCCATATAAACTCACTAGATGATGTCCACCTGTATACGGTTTTCTTAATTTATTTTTTCATCATCTCTGCTGAATCAATAAATGCTTTCATTGACATGCGGGAAACTTTAGAGAATTCAAAGTTATCATAGCTACAAAGCCATGGTTCCATCATTAAAAAAAAAATCTGAATAAAACATTTCTCCCATGAATATTATGAATGGTTTCTTATTTAAACTTTCCATACACAGTTGTAGACGAAAAAGCACCAATTATTAAGTGACAATAAAAGTAATCAGCGATTATATACGCGCTTTTCTAAAATAAACAACTTGCAACAAAACCGCGGTTAAAACCAACGCGTTCAAGCGATTTGTGTAACTGACGTCATCAAGCCGTGTGTCATCTTGAACCATATTATAACCGCGGCACGTAACACAGAAATTTTGGATATTCGCTTGGATTTGATTTATGTTTGACAATTATTGTTAGATAGGTATTATAAAACTATGTTTGTAGGTATCTATAATAAATTTCTACAAAAAAAAATATATATATATATATATTGGTTGTTTTACCATATTTATCTTCAAAAAGTCAAATTTCATGTTAAATTAATTATTTTTATTATTATGCATCGTATCTTACTGTAATTTAAATATCAATCCTTTGCTACTTTGATGTTACTCCAAAATACACACAGTATTTATACATATAGACATCATCTACAATATAAATAATTGTATTATGTTTTTGTGCAAATTATGGAGACGATATGTACATGATTAAAAATTTGATAACAATTACTAAAAATACAAATTTGCATAAAACATAAACAGCATCAGTCTTATTGTTTTGTTTGCTCGTGCACGTATAATGGGATCATTTATGTTAATCACCTTTAGCTTTTTGGCAAACATTGCTACGCCTCAAATTTTATATATCTCCATTGGTATTCCTCAATATTTTATTCAAAACTTTTTTTATAACATTCTAACAAAAAAGCTGATGTAGCAAAATCATCCGATGAGCTGGCAGCACCGTAATCCAGGTAACAAGAATGGCAAGGTCAACTGTCAAGACAGATGTCTATCCCGGGGTACTGACGAGGCCATTTAGGCCCGTATCGTCAGTCGTCCCTACAATTGTAGGGCGCCTTTATGACCTCCTTGATTGTCATAGTTTTCTACTTCTCCGTGTCAGCGGTCTATTTTGAGGTTATGTCACAAACATCTATTTGCATCAAATTGTGCTTGCTTTTGAGTTATAACATGTTTTATCAACCGAAATTTCCTACAATTTAAAAAGAAAACATATCTTCACAATAGGAGAGCGCTGACGCTGACACGGGACAAGTGTCATCTAGAAATTTTTGAAGAAGAGAAAGAACTATGACAATCAAGGAGGCCATAAACGCGCCCTACAATTTTAGGGACGACTGACGATACGGGCCTTAGATATTTTGAATGTCAAAGCGGCAATTTTCATTCGCATTTTTCAAGTGTTGTGCAACGATTTCGGAAAAAAAATCGTTACGGATAGTCTAGTAGAGTATATTTCAATAGTTGTATTGCATGGCCATGTTATCTTTACTCGGGCCAAAAAAATTGGTGAAAAATATGCTCATAGATTCCGTTACGTATGCGGGTCCCACACCATAATCAAATCCAAGCGAATAACCAAAATTTCCGTATTATGTCCTCGGTTATAATATGGTTCAAGATGACACACAGGATGATGACGTCATTTACTCGAATCGCTTGAACGCGTTGGCTTTAACCGCGGTTTGTTGCAAGTTGTTTATATAGTTTCTGATTATTTTTATTATCACTTAATAATCAGTGCTTTTTCGTCTACAACGGGATATGGAAAGTTGAAAAAAAGAAAAATTTAATAATATTAATGGCAGGAATGTTTTTTTTTCAGAAAAACATTTTTACTGATGGAACCATGGCTTTGTAGCTATGATAACTTTCAATTCTCTAAACTTTTCCGCATGTCAAAGAAAATGTTTATTGATTTAGCAGAAATGATGAAAAAGCGATGAAGAAAAGATGTTAACAAAACCGTATATAGGTGGACATCATCCAGTGAGTTTATATGGCGATATTTTAATATTCTTGTGGCTATACAGGATACTTTGTTAAGCGTAGGAACTAGATTTAAAGTGTCTCCAACAACAGTAATGATTATAAATAATAAGTACAATCAAAATATCCAATACCCGGCAAAATTCTAACTTGTCACATGTCAAATAATAACCAGAAATATAAAACTACTCCTGAGTTGAGTAAATACCACAATTTTGCGGTGATAACTATGACATATAACAGCTGATTCACGACGTCACGGATCTTATAACCAAACTGATAACCACACTCGCTTGGACGGATCGGTAAATACCAATCCAAAATGGTAAATACCATTTTCATTTGATTATCCGCTTGAATTTGATTTATGCTTCCAACGCTGTGTACAACGTTCGACACACCACAATTGGCAAGTGCATCTCCTACACGATGGGATGAAGTTTTTAGTCTCGGACGTTCGACGCATGGTGGCGCCGACATCTATTGTCAGTGTCGCGCTTGCACCTTTACAACTGAAGAAAAAATTATACACAATGAACGATGAAACAATTTTTTCGAACGCCGGAAAATAATTTCAGATCTGTCTTCATGGGACTAAAACCAAAGTCTGTCAAAAGCCTCAGAAATGTCGAAAAACGAAGTTTGACCGTTATTCGTTTTTCGACGATCACTCCGCCGCCACTATACCGATTTTCAAAAACTGCAGAGCTTTTTCGTCATTTTCATAGTAGTAACCTAGTGTCAAAATTTCATCAAATTCCTGATAGTACTTTTAAAGTTATCATATATTTAATCATTTTCGTTGTTTATGAAATGCAAGTCAATATATAACTCTCAACTATAGTGTATTTACACCCAAGATAGAATGGATGCGTGATTGCCAAAAGCAAGGACGGCGTAAAGGCCGCATTCAGGGCTACCTCCGAATGATGGACTACCACCAACGTGTTGTAAAACAAAGATGACAGTATTTAACAGAAACAGAAACTTAACAAATTACTCAAATACACTTAACAACAGCAACAACCAAGCAAGGTGAATACGAAAACACGAGCACACAGTGATTCACGCGACGGACGGTGGCCTGAGTGCAACTCTGCCTGCCCTGCCCCTGCCCCGCGCATTATTCCGCCAGGCGGCCGCTTGAAATTTAATGGCGAATTCACCAATAAGAGTCGTTGCCTCCTACTGTTACCGAGAGATCACGCGCTAACTGTTATTATTTACATCTCATTCTCATCTTGAATTTGGATTCAGTTTAGTCTTGCATTGCAATAGGACATTATAATGAAACAACTGTAAGCACTTGATAATTTATATTTTACTAAAATACATATCCTTAGGCCAGCCATTACTCACCTGCGAAACGTACAAAATATAAGCAATATGAAAAAAGTTTTGTTATGGCAGCCTATGCTCTGTATGTATACTAGTTTAATTCATTCTCCTCAAAAGTTAGTTACCGAACATATATTATTATGAATAGGTAGGTATTCAAATCAAAATACATTACTACTTCGCCACAATCACAGTAAATATAAATAATGTTTTTAGCCGCTTCCGATTCTAACCTAAAATCAAACACATGACATCTCGTGTGGGAGCGTAACGAACCATGCTTCGAACGTTGTAACGTCCTTTGACGCAGATCAAATTTACCGACAAGAGTCCGAACGTGCCATGTGGCGAACGTTGGGCACATGTAATCCCACAGCGCTCTCCCGCACGATGTTGCGAATTGCCATATGTCCAACGTTGTAAGGCATTCGCCAGATCGTGTGGGAACGGTTAACACAAAAATGTCACTTGATAATCAGCTGTTCAATATGGTTCAGTAGACGTCAAAGGCGTCAAAGCGTGATGGATAGTCGTGAAATAGGGTACAGAAAAGACGTTTTGTGGTCATGGAGTTTTTTATGGATTGGTGGTTAATGAATAAATAAAAATCTTATATTGATGAGGACTGAGTGAAAGAAATGTTTCAGTAACTCGAGTTTTTAAGTGTTTTGTCGTGACGTACTGTGGACACGTATCTATTATGTTGATTGTTGATTTTTCGATTTATTAGAGATAAGGGATACCACATAGAAACCGGTAATCATGCGTTATAAGACATTATTGTTGTTTATCTTCATATGCTGCGAGATCTCAAGTGAAGCTTTGCAAGGACCGCCAGAGAAAAACACCAAGAACGATGAAGAGGAAACGAGCAAAAATACTGAATTTGTCGGCTCTTTTGAGGATAGGGATGGGGCAACCGCAATACATATAGAATCTGCACCTGATTTAAGCAATGAAAGAGATAAAACAAAAGGTAGGTTGCTGCAAAAGTATTTATTACTATATCTTATTTATTATTAGTTACACTTAACAAACTGCACTAATAGAACACAACATACAATGACCCAGTGGTGGCTCGTGGCAAAATAAAACAGGTGTTCTGCAAATCCGAACTTACCTATTTTTTTATGTCAGTTCGATCCTGCGCTCCTACTTGGCAGCAAATTTGTCGATCACCTTCCCGTTGATATCTTCCATGGTCAAAATAAATTCCTTTTCAATGGACAGCATCGACAATGCTGTAAGGTGATCCTGAATCATAGTATTATGAAGAAAAGTCTTGATTCTTTTCAATGTTGAGAAATTTCGCTCAGCCTCTGATGTTGACATAGGAGTTGTAACAATAATTTCTAATTGCTTTTTTGTTTCATCCAAACTATTTTGTTACAAAAATTTCAAAACAGACAGAGTTCCATGTAAATCTCGGCCATCATTCCATGCATAAATAACATAATAACTCTGTATTTAAATGACTTTTTTCAAATTCGGTATAAGCCAAGCAGGTAGTTTCCAACTTGTCATCAGGAAACTCACCACAGTATTCTCCAAAGTGTTCGGGGAAAAAAAGGGATGCAGCTACCAAATGAACTTTGAATTGAAATCTGTCATTTGCAGAATTCACTATATTGACGCATACTTCTAATGCGGCAACTCGGTGATCATGGCTGCTATTATTACGTCGTCTCCTTTTGTTGCCTTGTGGTTCAGTGCAAATACTTTTGGCTTCATTTATTATGTCATCAATTTTATTTCTCACATCGACAATACATTTTACAAAATTATCGATAGCAGTTTTAACTTGTGCTGCCTCGGTTTTTCTCTTCTGCAACTTGTTGAACAAGATATCAATGTGAGGCATGACATGATGAAAAAATGTCAACCAAGACACGAAAACAGAATTATTTAACATACGGCGAATACCACAAGCTGCTTTGCAAACGGTTCCGTTAGGGAAATTTTCTTCTATTTCTTCCATGCATTGAATGAGTGATTCTCTGATCTCAAACACTACATTTATTGTTCGAATATTAAAATTCCAATGAGTTGTGGCTACTTGGGGAATTTTTTCCCCACAATTCTGTTCAGTACCTCTACGCGTTGAGGAGAAATATTAAAAAATCCCGGAATATCTTTCAAATCCCCAAAGAACACCCGAACTTGAGCATTTGCAGCAGCAGCTTAAGACATAATCAGGTTTAACTGATGCACGTAGTGAGCAAATGAATATCTTTGTTTAATTTTTGCCTGTGCTCCAGCATTATGTCCGCTCATTACCGCGGCTCCATCATAGCTTTGTGAAATCAGTTTGTTAGAGAAATTTCCTATTAATGGATCTACGATGCTCAAAATATGTCTTGTGAGAGTTTATCTGTTTTATTATTTCCTCAAGACAAACTTCAAGAATACAATCCAGTAGATCGTTTTGTATTTCTTTCGAAGTTCCTTTAAATATTGAAGCATTTTTTATGTGTTCGCTTAAGGTTGTATCAAGCTCAGCAGAAAAATTAATCAGTCCACGAAATATTCCCGGGTTTTGGGAGCTCTCGGTTTCGTCGTGGCCGCGTAGCGCCAATTCAAATTCAAATTTTATACCGAGCACCGACCGACCAATCAGATATCGTACTTCGCATTAGATCTGTACGGATCTGTATAACGTCCAGCACATGCTTCTGCTTAAATCGCCCATTTGATTTTGTAGAGAGAGTCAAAAGCAAGCGCGTGCGGCTTGTGTCGAAGTAGTGCACAGACCCTTTTCAAGTGGCCCATGACAAGTACACAATTGGTCGATTATAATGCTTTCTCAATACAAAAAAGACTCGACGCCGCATCTTGCGGGGGCAGCGTTGCCGGTATTGTTTCTATTTGTGTGATAACATGGAAAATAAATAATGATCAAATTACTACTGCTTTTTTCTGTTAAGACAAAAATTTTGGCAGTTCTGCAGCTCTGCAGAACTTAAGGGCCAGCCGCCGTCATTGAATGACCTATAAACCATACATATTAACCTTCAAAAGCAATTAAGAGTTAATAGCCCTATTCTTTTGAACCAATCAAATGGACAGAAGTCATGGCCTGTATTCTGTAAATTTCTTACTCAAACGATTTGCTTAGCCTAGACTATGGATACACTACAGATAAGGAACTTTCTGAGTATAAATTAGCAGTAGGTTTTAATGGAGAAAACCACTGGTATTATGTTTCACCAAAAGATGCCATTGATAATTGTAGGCTTGATTGATTTATCATGTATAAGGAATACTTTCAACATTTCGGTTGTGTAAAACTTACGCTAAAAGGTAATAAGGTTGAGATTTATTTTAATATCATACCAACATATTAACTTACAGATAAAATATCAGAACGTGATATATCCGATGCCGTGGACCTGTTCATGCTTGACCAAGCCAAAGTTATCGAAAAGATGGTGCAGCACTTCGACATGATGAATGCCTTGCAAGAAAGCACTGCTTTCGAAGTAGAAGACATGCCTGATTTGCCTAAGGGGGCCTTGCAGGAAAAAGAGTACACTCCCGAAGAATTGGAGGCCAACAAGATATACGATACTGCCTTGGCTATGCTGAACAAGACTAGACCTGATAAAATGAAGGTAATTATGGATCCAAAGTAAACTATACATCAGTACAGAGATCTGGCGACTCGCTTTTTTCACTTTTTCTCACTTTTTCCGATCCATCTCACTTATACTTACTTTTCATTGAAAACATTCACTTTTCTCACTATTTTCGCTCTCGCTGTACATATTGTAGTTTATGAACGTTTTAAATGGAGCTGTCCTCGTTCTCTCAAGCCCCACGAAATTGAATGAAGTGACTTTTTTTATAGAAATTAACTATACAAAGTTGTCCATGTACAGGGTTCTCCACAAGCTGAGTCAATATGTATCACAAGAGAAATTACTATAATCTACATTGAATTTTAAATCAGCTTTGCTAAAAGTACTCTATACAGGGTGTTTTCAAAGTTTAGCCATTTATTTTAACAGCTTGTAGAACTCTTCAAAAGAAGTTGATATACCAAAAATCACCTATACAAAAGTTGCATAATAAGAGTTAGTTTGAATGATTAAAAATTATTAAAAAAAATCATTATCAAGTTAAATGGATACCGTTTTTACAAAAACTGTTCAAAATTGTCCCCATTTGTTCGATTAATTCAAGGCTCTCTACAAGCTTCGACAATAAGATCCAGGTGTCCACTAATCAAATCACAAGCATTTTCAATGCGCTTTTGAAGTTCTTTCAGAGTATTCACTGTTCCATCATGATACACCAACTCCTTCAAATAGCTCCACAGAAAAAATCGCAAGGCGTTAAATCCGGGGAGCGAGCAGGCCAAGAAATTTGCCCTTTGTGCCCTATCCATCTATTCGGAAACTCATTATTTAGATGTTCATGAACTTCTCATCTAAAATGTGGTGCAGCCACATATTCTGTCTCAAATTTAAAGGAACACCTAATAATTGTGGCAGATTGTGCCGAAGAGAATCTAAATAAATTTCACCGGTCAGTCGAGGTGGAGCAAAGTAGGGTTCAATAAGCATGCCTAACATCTAATGAAAATCTATGTTGACAATAAGTTTTTACAGCATGCAGATTTTCTACTGCCCAAACATGATTGTTGTGTAAATTATGCACTTGTGTAAATGTGGCCTCGTCTGTACACAAAATTAATTTCGTAAAATCTTTATTTCTGCCAAACTATTCTAAAAGCCACTGGCAAAATGCAACTCTTCTAGGATGATCTCCAGGTTGTACCGCTTGTACCCGTTGATAATGATAAGGATAGTACTGTTCTTATCGTGTTTTCTTTACTTTTCTATGAGAAACTTCAATTTGAGCTGCTATGGGTCTAGTACTCATCGTTGGGTCGTCTTCGAACATTTCTAAAATATCTTCCTCAATTTGTAACATTTCAGGTTAAGCAGGTCTTCGAACGTGACCTCCTTGTTGTTCTTTTAAATATCCTGTGTCACGAAGTCTAATAACTGAATTTACAAACCTCCGTTGGACCGGATGATATCTTAAACGAAACCTTTCCGCATACAACCTTCTTGCTGCGGTTGCATTTTGTTGGCACTCTCCGTATGTTTGTATTATGTCCACTAGTTCATTGTTTTCGTAAACAAGGACCATATTTTCGAACAAAATAATCATACGCACTATTAAAGACTTATATAACTAATCGAACTAAAGACTCGTGCTGAAAACCATACAGTAACTCATTTACTATTTCTTTTTTTATGGAACTTTTATATTGGTGATTTTTGGTATATCAACTCCTTTTGACAAGTCCTACAGGCAGTTAAAATAAATGACTCAACTCTGAAAACACCCTGTAAAACATATATTAAAATCCCATATTTACTCATGAAACATTATTTAGAACTCGATATGCTTACACTCATAATACAATTAAAAGACGAACTGTTTAACCACATATTTTCTCATTGTCTTTTACAGAAAAATAGTATTCCTCATAAAATGAAATTCTGAAATCTCAAATTAATATTACTTTAAAACTCACACACCCGAATATGCGAGATGGTGTCAAATACTACTATTCAATAGCAAGGACGCATCGTTACCAATAACTTTAACTTAAAAAATCTAAACGTGATTAGATATACATAATTATTTTATTCATATCGGGGTCTCGGAAAAGGTAAGATATACGAAGTCGGTTAACGGGGGGCACAGTTGCGCATTAAGGCCCGTATCGTCAGTCATCCCTACAATTGTAGGGCGCGTTTATGGCCTCCTTGATTGTCATACTTCTTTCTCTGCTTCAAAAATTTCTAGATTACACTTGTCCCGTGTCAGCGTCAGCGCTCTCCTATTGTTAAGATATGTTTTCCTTTTAAATTGTAGGAAATTTCAGGCTGATAAAACATGATATAACTCAAAAGCAAGCACAATTTGATGCAAATAGATGTTTGTGACATAACCTCAAAATAGAGCACTGACATTTAAAAATAGAAAACTATGACAATCAAGGAGGCCATAAAGGCGCCCTACAATTGTAGGGACGAATGACGATACGGGCCTTAGGTAACTAACAATAAGGCACTTAGAAAAGTTTAGCAATTCCAAGTATTTCCGGAAATAGTCGAAAGAAACAGAATTTTCCCAGAATTTCAAAATAAATTTTACATTAACATTGCGACTTTTTGTCCTCTAAAATATGGCATAATTTGAATTTCAGTATGGCGTATTGTCTCTTGTCCTCGAGAATCAACTTTATTTTTTATTATGGGCGCCATATGGAATTTTTGCACAGGTGAATAGATTTTTTAACTCTGATTCCAAAAATGTATTACACGTCATATATTGGCGTTGTAAAACCTTAGTTATTTAAAGAAAGCAAATTTGTTTGGTAGGCCTTGAAATTATCAGATAGTAATTTGTTTCGCATACCAGATTTATCTCAAAATCACTTTTCCTGGCCTTGTTTGAGACGGGATTTCAAAATAAATTGCATGTTGTCATTGTTACTTATTTACAAGATGGCGTAGTCAAATTATTAATTCGACATTTCTTCTTTCGATATTCATCACCAACTTTGTTTTTTCTTATGGACGCTATATTGGAATTTTGTACATTTGAATGGACTTTTCAGTGCTAAATTCAGTGATATATTTCCTTAGTTGACCATGAATTTGTGTTCGATGAAAATTATAAGGAAATGAAAACGGATGGTTAAAACTGAACACAAAATGAAAATTATATTGATGGTAATAAGCAGAGGTAAATCATAGCAGATATTCAAAATGGTGTCCTTTATTTTTTGTACGCTAGGTACTCTTCAATCTTCAGAGTGGCTAACTAAGAATGCGAGGTATTGTATCTGGGAACCTATCAATCGTAGGGGCTTGCGGCAAAAAAATATTACTCGAAAAACCTGCAAAATATTTTCAAGTTTCTGAAATGGCCGATGTAGGCGTAACTGCAATTTGGAATCCAAAAAAATGATGTTGCTGTGAATTCCGCTAGATTTACCTAACAAAAAAATACCTAATCTTTAAATTCTAGGATAATCTGAACCCTTTTTGTTTGACAATTTTTGCTGTATCTCTAAAAATAAAGGTGCATTATTCAAATGTTTCCGTAAAAAATATCCTGTATCTTCAAAACGACTGAGCCGATTTCAACAAGTTTGGGCTAGTTGAAAAGAGCTATTGTTTTTTATGAGATTTGAAGTTTTCTTAGTTTCACATGTAGCCGCTAGAGGGCTTTTTCGACATTACGACAGAAATGGTTAATTTTCTCAAAAAAATTAAACGCATTTTTATGATTTTCTTACGAAAAAGTAGCTAAATGAGGTCTAAACAATCTCGCGAAAACTGCATCTCGATATCTTGTTCCTAACCTAAAATTTAGGCCAAAGAAAATTTTATACGGAAATCCCTTAAATTTGTATTTTTTAAACTATTTTTTCTAGAATTTCATTTTATTAGCAAGTTGAGGCCCTAAAAATACCGATTTAAAAAAGAAAGGATCTTAATGACCCCGTAAATGCTCGAAATGGTGACCATGACGCTCTATGCATCCTGAAGCCTCTCATGTGTAGACAAAACTGCAGCTTCAATTTCGGCTCTCGGTATGTTACGCATTGCATTACGAATCCGGTTTCTCATATCTTCTCTGGTTGTAGGTTGAGTCTGAACACGATGTCCTTTAACCTTCCCCATAAATAAAAATCAAGACAAGTTAATTGAGTCTGGTGATCGCGAAGGCCATGGAAACAGACTTCCTTTCCCACAATAATAGCAAAATGTGTTGGGCAACCAACCAACTCTAACGTGTTTCCAGTGGTACATCTTCCAACAACAACGGTAATAATTGATTGCCCAAAAAGTCAAGAAAGACATTTCCATTTAGGGATTGCTCGAAAAAATATGGCCCAGTAGTTCTGCCTCCCAGTATGCCACACCAAACATTTAAACTCCAACGCCCTTGGTGCTGAACTTCACGCAACCAATGTGGATTTTCTGCAGATCAATAATGCATATTATGCAGATTGATTCTCCCGACACTATTAAAGGTGGCTTCATCGGTCCAAAGAATTTGAAATGAAAATTTTCTATTTTCGCGTATCATGCCTAATATCCAATGATAATAGTCCAACCTCCGATCAGTCTTTCTCTTTCAAGGCCTGATGCAAAACAACATGATATGGGTGCATCCTAAATGTAATTAAACTTTAATAAATCCCTATATTTCGATGGTCATTAGGACTTACCTATAGTATGTTCCTTGAAAATATTTTGATCCGTTGTTCGAGATATGTCCAACTTAAAGGACAATGCCCTTGTGCTAGCATGATGATTTCCTTCAACATATCCCAGTACCCGTTTAATATTTTTTTGTGTTCTTCAAATTCTTTGCTGTTGAAACGTAGGCCGAAAACTACCATTGGCTCGTAAGCTCGCTACTAATCGGGGAAAAACTCTCATATCGCAAAGACGCCGATTTGGATATCGAGACGCGTAAACTCTTTTTGCTACTGCGGCATTCTGAAGTCATTCAAAATAAACTGTAAGCATATCAACGCGAAAATATTGACAACTATTGACAATTTGAGGATTATTTTGTCCTGACTTGGTATTTGTTTTGTTGTATTACATGACCTACTTCTATTAATTGTCTTTTTTGTATATAGGTACCCATAGTGAATATGCATTTAAACAAAAAATATTACTTTTCTTATTAGTTTTACTTACTTACCTTTTAGCGATATTTTGTAATATCATATTCAAAAAGGGTGAGTTTATTCTGATTAATAAAAAAGAATTCCAGAAAAATTAGTTTAAAAAATAAAAATTTAAGGGATTTCATTATAAAATTTTCTTTAGCCTAAATTTTAGCTTAGGAACAAGGTATCGAAATGCGGTTCTAGCGAGCTTATTTAGACATCAGTTAGCTACTTATTCATAAAAAGAGTCATACTAATTCATTTAATTTTGTTGAGAAAATTAACCAGTTGTGTCGGAATGTCGAAAAAAAGCATTCTAGCGGCCACATTTGAAACTAACAAAACTTCAAATGTTATAACATTTGTAGCCCAAGAATAGCTCTTTTCAACTAGACCAAGTATGTTAAAGTTTGCTCAGTCATTTCGAAGATACATTCGTTTATGGAAACCCTTGAATACCACTTTATTTTTAGAGATGCAGCAAAAATTATCAAACAAAAAAGGTTATATTATTATCCTCGAATTTAAGGATAAGAAATTTTTTGTTTGGTTAATATAGCGGAATTCACAGAGACATCACTCTTGTAGATTTATGATCGAGGTTACGCCCCCTAGCGGCCATTTAAGAAACTTGAAAATATTTTCCAGGTTTTTCTCTTGGCCGTATTGGTAATAACTGTTTTGCCGCAAGAATGTACGATGGATAGGTTCCCTCATACAGTACCTCGCATTCTTGGTTGACCACCCTGTACTCTGAAGAGTCGGGCTTTGCCTACAAAATAACGGACAGCATTTTGAACATCTGCTATGATTTACCCTTGCTTGACAAGAGACGAAACGTCATATTGAAATAATATATATATATAGATATATAGATATATACAGGGTGACTTCGAAGTTGAGTCATTTATTTTAACAGTGAGTAGATCTGATCAAAAGAAATGTTTTTTTCCTTTACCATTTTTCTGGTAAAATTAAAGGAACAAAGTTATAGCCCTTTGGAAGTTTGAGTACTGCCCTGTCTCAATAATAATATTATGTTTTTGGCAACAACGGATATCGGTTCATCGCATCGGAAACAAAAAAGCGAAAGAATTTGAAACGTTTATCACGTTGTTTTTCGTCAGTCGGTAACGCGTGGGTGAATAGTGATGTTTGTTGCGTGACTCAAACGAAATGAAAAATGGCACAAATGCTGAACTTGTGGACATGATTCTTATTTACGGGGGGCAGTCTTTACAAAATGCTGCCGGATGCATCACGGATTTATGCGAATCGGTTTCCCAATCGAGTGCAACCAACCCCTCGTGCCTTTGTTAATGTAGTACAAAGGGCTCGTGAATCAGGTGACTTAAGACCTCACAGGTGAGAGCATGCCGGTGCTCCAAGACCGCACGATCAAATACAGGTCCGCACTGAAATACTTGTCGGGAGGATACTTTATTAAACAAGGTAACATTTTTTTTTTATTTTTACACACATATTTTGGTTTATCTTCCTTCTACAATCATTATCTGAAAATTAATGACTCAACTTCAAAGTCACCCTGTATATATATATATATATATATATATATATATATATAACTTGAGACGTGGTCATTGTCGTCTAGACCAGTTAGGTGAAAAATTAAAGCTTCCGCCTTTTGTTGGGTACTTCGACAAGAATTAAGCAAAGAGGACTCTTTATACTTTTTTTAATTCTCTCTAGCTTTCAATGGACTTTGCCATCAACATCAGGAGCTGCAATTACAATGATAACAGTAGCAACAAAGGTGTAAAATGAATTTGAATTGACTCAACTTACAGTAGTATGTGAGGATGTTGCTAATTGTTGTTTACGTATAGGATGAGGGAAACGTCCAGTAACATGGTGAGAGCTGAATAGATTGCACAATAGTCAAAATTTATACAAAACATGACAAGAACAAGTTAAAAACAGATTAAAAATTATTTAAAAAATTAGAGCATTACATCGTGAAACCACCTGATGATTGCACAAATTAGTGGTCATGGAATGATGAATTGATGAGTGACATGAAACCCTTTGACAGAAGGCCGAAGGATGTCAATGTCAGTATTGAAAGATGGAACGAATTGTGGGCGTGTGCCAAAACGTTGCCAAATCACTTCAGATGATGAGATTTTCAGAATTTTATGTTAGAATTTGTTATTCAACTGCCTCTGGTCGGTTTAACAAATTCTAACATAAAATTCTGAAAATCTCATCATCTGAAGTGATTTGGCAACGTTTTGGCACACGCCCACAATTCGTTCCATCTTTCAATACTGACATTGACATCCTTCGGCCTTCTGTCAAAGGGTTTCATGTCACTCATCAATTCATCATTCCATGACCACTAATTTGTGCAATCATCAGGTGGTTTCACGATGTAATGCTCTAATTTTTTAAATAATTTTTAATCTGTTTTTAACTTGTTCTTGTCATGTTTTGTATAAATTTTGACTATTGTGCAATCTATTCAGCTCTCACCATGTTACTGGACGTTTCCCTCATCCTATACGTAAACAACAATTAGCAACATCCTCACATACTACTGTAAGTTGAGTCAATTCAAATTCATTTTACACCTTTGTTGCTACTGTTATCATTGTAATTGCAGCTCCTGATGATGATGGCAAAGTCCATTGAAAGCTAGAGAGAATTAAAAAAAGTATAAAGAGTCCTCTTTGTTTATATATATATATATATATATATATATATATAGGTGAAAAATTAAAGCTTCCGCCTTTTGTTGGGTACTTCGACAAAATTTAAGCAAAGAAGACTCTTTATACTTTTTTTAATTCTCTCTAGTTTTCAATGGACTTTGCCATCATCATCAGGAGCTGCAATTACAATGATAATAGTAGCAACAAAAGTGTAAAATGAATTTAAATTGAATCAACTTACAGTAGTATGTGAGGATGTTGCTAATTGTTGTTTTCGTATAGGATGAGGGAAACGTCCAGTAACATGGTGAGAGCTGGATACATGGTACAATGGTTAAAATTATATAAAATATGACAAGACAAGTTAAAGACAGATTAAAAATTATTTAGAAAACATTAGAGCATTACGTCGTGAAGCCACTTGATGATTGCACAAAATGGTGGTCATGGAATAATGAGTGAGATGAACCTTTGACAGAAGGCCGAAGGTTGTCAATGTCTGTCTTAAATTTTGTCGAAGTACCCAACAAAAGGCGGAAGCTTTAATTTTTCACCTAACTGGTCTAGACGGCAATGACCACGTCTCAAAATATATATATATATATATACGTGAGCAGTAGTCATTGCTATATATATATATATATATATATATAATTTTGCCTTCTTGTAGAGGAGAAAAAGTGTGTAATGTTAATGTGCATTTTATTTTGAAATCCCACCACAAATAAAGTCAGGAAAAAATTAATTTTTTTCCTTCACTCTCCAGAAGTACGTTGAATTTAGAAACTTTTTAAGCGGCATTTTGTTGATTACCTACATATGCAACTTTGCCCAAATTTAAGAGACTTCGTATCTCTTACAGTTTCCGAGAATTTGAAACACCCGGTATATTTGATAAACTTTATCGCAGGCCTACCAGCTGTTGATTGAAGCCTCAAATAAAAGAAATCTTGATGCCACGGCGATGGTAGCGTGGGCCAAATTATTTGGAAATCCTCTCAAGCAAGATATTCACTTTGCCAAGCAAATGTTTCAAGAGCTAGCTGATGTAGGGAATCCCGAGGGTCATATGGGACTAGGTGAGTTGGTTTTCGGAAGACACACCGTATATTACCCACATAAACAACTGAACTGCCTCTTGGAAGGCCTAATTTAAACATATTAATATAATCCAAGCGAATAACCAAATGAGAATGGTATTTACCATATTGGATTGGTATTTACCGATCCGTTCAAGCGAGTGTGGTTATCAGTTTGGTTATAAGATCCGTGACGTCATGAATCAGCTGTTATATCTCATAGTTATCACCGCAAAATTGTGGTATTTACCCAACTCATGAGTAGTTTTATATTTCTGGTTATTATTTGAAATGTGACAAGTTAGAAGTTTGCCGTGTATTGGATATTTTTGTAGTACTGCGGCTTCATTTTTGGGAAACTTGATACACGCTTACTTCAGTTGTAGCATAAAGTAGAGCCCCTTATTAGTTATACTAATTACTATTGTTGGGTACACTTTAAACCTAGTTCCTATGCTTAAGAAAGTATCATGTGTAGCCGTATACCAAAAGAATATTAAAATATGGCTATATACACTCACTGGATAATGTCCACCTGTATACGGTTTTGCTAATATCTTTTTTCATCACCTTTACCTATCACTTCTGCTAAATCAATAAATGTTTTCTTTGACATGCGGAAAAGTTTAGAGAATTGAAAGTTATCATAGGTACAAAGCCATGGTTCCGTCATTAAAATATTTTCTGAAAAAAAAAAACATTTCTCCCATTAATATTATGAAAGGTTTCTTTTTTAAACTTTCCATACACTGTTGTAGACGAAAAAGCACCGATTATTAAGTGATAATAACAATAATCGGAAATTATATACGCGCTTTTCTAAAATAAACAACTTGCAACAAAACCGCGGTTAAAACCAACGCGTTCAAGCGATTCGATTCAGCAACCCGTGTGCTGTCTTAAACCATATTATAACCGCGGTACATAACACAGAAATTTTGATTATTCGCTTGGATTTGATTATAGTCATTGCCACCGAGGTAGCGGAAATGTCATTAAAACTTTTGTTATTTGATCGACAAAATTATGTTCAAATATGAAGTTTCATTATGCTGAACTTATTTATCATGCAGGGATGCTGATGACTCACTTTTTTCTCTTGTTATCACTTTTTTCGATCCGACTCGCTCTTATTCACTTTTCATTGAAACCATTCACTTTTCTCACGATTTTCGCTCTCTCAGTACATATTGTAGTTTATGAAGGTTTTCGAAGTAGCTGTCCTTGTTCTCTCAAGCCCCACGAAATTAAATGGTGAATTTTTTTTTAAATTAACTATGATTAAGTTGTTCATGTACATGGTCCTCTTCAAGCTCAGGCAATAAGTTTACATAAGAAATTACTAGGATTAGTTGAAATATGCGTTGAATTTTAATTGAGCTTTGCTAAAAGTATTCTATATATACAAGAAGTACCACGACAAACTTAAGGAGAAGGTAGGCTTTGGACTGATCTCCCAAATAACAAAAACTTACCTATATAAAAGTGTCACCGTTTTTAAGATATTGAATTTTTTCTTAAATTTCAAGGAACCATGATAAAAAATAATTCTTTTGTATTGTTACTGGTTCGAGTCCGAATTTCAGTAAGTTTCATAAAATCATATCAGGAGCAGGTAATAATAATGTGGCTATTTAGCATGGCACTGATCGGTAACAGTGCAACTTGAATTCAAATCCAAGAATTATATTGTAGTGTGTGTCAGTCACTTACAAAAACAGCTATCACTTTTTTCTATTCCAAATAGTACGTGTGGTGCCTTTCTGAAATCTGTATTCAACGAGCAATTTTTTTATTCAATACAATGCAGTTATAGCCAGGTTCACTTTTGTTTCACCACAGATGGTCAAAGTTGAGGAAAAAATATCAGAAGGTTATAAATCCCAAAATATTCCTTATTTGATCATGGTTCCTTAATATCTTTTAACTACATTGCATTTGTATATGATAAAGCAACTATCTAGAAGTATTTTATAGAAAAAATTAACAAAGTATAACCTTATTTGTACCTGCAGCTAAAGACGACAGATGAAAAGGTTCGTTTTTTTAAATTTAAGAAAAAATTCCATATCTCAAAAACGGTGACACTTTTATATAGGTAAGTTTTTGTTATTTGGGAGGTCAGTTCAAAGCCTACCTTCTCCTTAAGTTTGTCGTGATACTTATTGGACACCCTGTATATGTGCACTATAGATTTAAGAAACGGTAAGTAACACCCACACATCGTTTATTAAAGCAGAGTTGCCCATTTAGGTAACTAATAAAATCTTGCTTAAATAAAATGGCGAAAAGTTGCTTTGCAACATGGAAAATTTTACCCAAATTCAAATCTCGATATTTTTGGAACGGAAAGAGATATCGAGTTGAGGTATTCGGGAGGTTCTTGAAGAACTCTTTGAAAACACGTACAGGGTACGATCGGTCTATTTATTTCAATTATCCACTTATACAGGGTAAGCAAAGGAAGTCATGTTTTTTTAGCAAAGTTTGGGGCTATATCAGATTCCCAATTTTTGATCTCGAAAATTTACCTACCCTAAAAAAGTTTTTCGAAAGTTGGCTATAACTCAAATTATCGAATTCTAAAAAAGTGTTACATTTATCCCTAAAAAGGGACTTTTTGGGGGTTTTTCTTGAGAATGGGTATTTTTTCTCACACTGTTGCATAAAGTGGAATTTCTTGTGCCCGAGAAAAGATTGAAGTACTCATTGAGCGACATTATCTCCAGTAGCGTGCAGTAAAAATTTGCTACCTTGACATGTAATTTAAACCGTATTTATAAATGTTACTATGCGATTAAACAGCTTAATGAACAAATCCAATAGGGGTGTATTGCAGTGGCGTAACACCAAACGCATTTTTTGGTTTGGTAAGAAGTGCGAATAACTTGAAAAAATTTATTTTCTAAAATGCTATGATGCTGGCCAACACTGCTATTCATCTCTTATCTGGAATTCATTCTTTTTCACATTCAGCATTGGCGCACGTGTCTTCATTGGAGATGTTTTCCAATAGGTAATAGACACTATTAAATTTTTTAACATCAAAGAATTTATTGGATAACATTAACAATATGCAACATTTTAGAAAACAAACATTTGAAGACCAGTTAAATACCTACATTATTTATGTCAAAAACGAACTTTTTATAAAACAGCAACAGTTCTTTAAACAATATTGTACCTTGTATGGCCACCCACACACCTCGATCACAGTCCGTGGCATACTTTCCAGAAGGTTATTAACTAAAATTACTCGCTCCTGTGTCCATTGGTACCTGGCAACTCTATGATTGTTCAAGAGCCGGGTACACTTCGCGCGCACCTTGCTCTGGAAGAAATGAAATGCTACTTTAAAAAAGTACCTATCTATGTTTTTATAACATCTACATACCTTAACAAATTAGAATTTGAAGTTCTTCTTACAGTACGATTGGATTTCATTCAAGGTTCAGGATGAAAGGGTCCTCCTTCGCCTTGCTTCCTGCAATAAATGTCTTTCTGCCCGACCTCGTACTTTTTGGATTACCTCCTCTATGCAACTAGGACATTTTTCTGGTATCCTGATATCTACGCCTTAAACGGTATATCGAGGATCGATCAACATTATAAATTAAACCTACATCATTCACTAAACGACCTTCTTACAATAATCTTATACAATCCTCTCGTTCTTTTTGAAAAAGACGAGGCATTTTTGAGAAAATAAAATTATACTGTCAGGTCTACAGTCAATATTTGTGTTACTTTGGCCCGTATCGTCAGTTGTTCTTACAATTGTAGGACGCCTTTATGGCCTCCTTGATTGTCATAGTTTACTACTTTTCCGTGCCAGCGCTCTATTTTGAGGTTATGTCACAAATATCTATTTGCGTCAAATTGTGCAAGCTTTTTTACTAACTTATTTTAAATTTTTGGTACATATATTAAATTCAAATTTACAGTCTTCAGTCCATGAAACCCGAATCCATGATTCTAAGTTTTCGATGACATTAGATTGCTTCGATTACTGCTCAGTGTTGTGAGTTTGCTCCCTTTCATCGGATTTTGGAATGTCTATGTCGTTCTCATCGAGTCATTCAACATCATGGTGCTCTAAATTTTGAATAATGCACATCAGTTCATTAGCACGACGAGCAGCGACTCTTACAGGTCTAACTTTCCTATCAGTGTGCGTGTTTACTTTTTTATGGATATTTTCGATGTGACGATTTAGTGACTTGACGGAAGCATGATAAAGACCACACGTTTTGCATGTTCGACTTGATAGCATCAATTTTACCGTCGGACAAAAATAATCGTAGGGCATTTGCAGGAAATCTTTGAGTGAAGCACTTAAGCGTAGAGCTAAATTGACTGGAAGATTAAAAAATTGCCCTCCTTCATCAAAAACCAAGTCATCAACTGTTTGTTTTACTTTTACAGGAGGTGGAAGAAACCTATTGTCTAGTAATCTAAATAGGCCACTTCTTGGACGACAGCATTCTGTATTTCTACATTTTACAATTTGAAGCAAGTATTGGCTCTCACGCTCATGTTCTGAATACCATTTAATGTCTGGAAAATCAGGAAGATCTTGCTGCAAATTCGAAATTAGATCTTTCTAAATGTTTATCAATTGTAACGCCACGTTCATCCAAATGAGACCCAAAATGGTCATGAGGCAATATTAAACCAGCCAGTTCCCGACTAAGAGGAGCCATTCTGCACTCTACTCTGTTATACGCACTTCTTCCAGGAGCATTGGTAGCTAAAAACAATGCATCGAGATCATGTCGCTTAAAGTGTTGTATAGCAAACCCTATGATTTTTTGATAACGTGGATTTTCATCTGACCCTCCATCAACCGTCATGATTACCACTGGTTTTCCTAGTCCATGGTCAGTTTTAGCTAATGGTCGAAACTCTTCAAGTTCGAGAAGCGTCTCGAAATCCTAAGCATGAGTATTAGCAGTAGATGAACTATGCTTTCCACTTCGAATAGCGACGTATGTTGGTCCAGAATATCCAACGGCTTGCGGTTGTCCTAGCATATTGTAAGTGATTTTGATACCAGCATAAACAGATGGTATTAATTTATGATGCTCAGCGATTACCCAATCGTGATCAGGCAATTTGATTCTATATTCCAAGTGCATTAGAAGAGGTGCTTGCTTATTTGCCGCAGTTACGCCAATACGGACTCGAGCTTTGTCATCTTGAGATATGAAAAATACTTGATCTGGTCCAAGTATGGATGTTATGTTCTCTAAATAATGGATTGATGTTCCAGCGAACTTGCTATCTAAGTGGCTCTTGTGGTGATCAGTTTGAGCCCGAATGAGCTTAACAGGGACATGTCTTCGTCCCTCTGCAGAATTAGATTTTCTGGGAATCAAACGAAGATATGTCCCACTGAGACTAATGCCAAATCCTATTTCACGTAATTCTTGTGTGAGTTCATCAAGAGTTTTTACGCTGCGAATTGATTCCGTTCGTCTTCTATCATCTGCTGCACTCCCAAATAAAGCTATATCCGCGAATGTTTTCAATAGTGAATGTTGATTGCTTTCAAGATTAGGACGTCCCACTGAATCCATCAGAGATAGTATTTTTTTTATTTCTGGATTTTGATGACAAATAACTTTTAACTTTCTTTTCATACCATCCCTGTGTTTCTTCTGGGCAACTGCGTTTTTAACCTTCCTGTTTAAAGACTGTTTTGCTGTTTTTATTTCCTCATGCAACTTAATGATCTGTTTATCAACTTCAGCACGGCTTGGCATAGTATCTCTGGCAGAATACAAAGCATTCAGATTTTTTTCGAGTAGAGCAATCTTATTTTTCATAGCTTCCTGAGAAGGTTTTGGTCCCTGTTTATCTGTATTTTCATTAATTTCACATTGCTGTTGTGATTCATTACCGAGTTTTATTTTATCTTCTTCCTCTTTTTTGATATTTGAAGCTGACTGTATAATTTGTGTTTTTTCTGCAGGTTTACAGGTTGCCTAAAAATAAAAACTTTCTATGGCTTCTGCTAAAGATTTTCTTATTAAGCTACAGCTATGGATTTAAATCTAATATGTTCAAACGAGCAATTCGTTCCGGTCACAAAATAGAGGGTGTTAGTTTTCTGTATATATGTATAAAACTAACATCCTGTACTTTGTGACCAACTGACGGAATCCATAAAAAATAAATCTATAATATAATGAATATTACCTCTATACTTTGAGATAGCCCATAATATTTTCTAATCAGTAAACAGAAACTTTTTGTCGATTTCTAATATTTCTAGTACTCATAGGTACCTAAAATGATTTCGTCACTCACCTTAGAAACAAATTTAGTAGATTGGATTTATTGTTAGTCGCCGCTTGCAATTCTTCTTCGATTCTCTTAGATACAATAATATCTAGTTCCTTGTCGGATTTTGCTTGTAATAATTTGTAATTTCGACACACTTCGTTAAATAAATTTTGTACATTTTGTACTTTCGTACTTGTATGAGATTTTTTAAAACTTTCAAACAATTTTTGGTATAACTTGGATTTGTCTATGTGAAACGACATCTTATTTAAACATTAAACTTTGGCTAATGGAATCAATGGTAACACAAATGTTAACTTGGTTTTACTATGCTTACAATACGTCTACTCGCTATAGTATCCAAACGAAACAATACACTGATAGAGGAAATTTAGACAAGTGAACACCGCGCGGTAATTCCCCTACTCGGTTCTAAAGCGAGTAGGGGAATTACCGCGCGCTGTTTACTAAACGTATGCATTATTTGCGGGAATCCCCGAAAATGCGTTTCGTTTTCAAGCAGACAATGTGAGGGTTGCCATTCGTGTAAAAAAGTAAATAACTACCGATGACGTAATCATCATCTAGACTCTCCTACCTCCCATGTCATCCAAAATAAGCCAAGCAAAGAACCCCCCGCCCCCCCTTAGTGCTCATGTAATACTTGAACGGCCCCTCTAGCATTTACAAGAATTTGTTATATTTTTTATGTTTCTTCTATGCATCGTATGCATTTGATCTTAAGAAGTGCATACATTTGAATAATTATTTTTGCTTACGTCAATAAAAGAGTAACAAAGACCTTATATAAGTTATTCTCGTTTTTTCATACATTCTTATTCATTCGTTTAAGTTTGGCACAATATTCAATTTCTCAGAAAACTAACTCACTGTTGTATGTATAAATTCACCATTTCTCACTTTTGCCGCATTTTTTTCTCACTACTTTTCTCACTTAAATTGATGGTTTGGGCCGCCAGCACCTCTGCCTATACTTATACGGACTTTTTTATCTTTGGATGCACTTTCACCCTGGAAATATGGCCACGTTTTTTTAGAAATTCGAATCGAAGGGCTGATACATTTTCGGAAACAGAATTAATACTACTCACAGGTGCAAAAATCTAAATATGAGGTCCATGAGAAAAAATAAAGTTGATAATTTAGGACTACAGATGAGACGTCATATTGAAATTCCAATTCCACTGTCACTTTATACAGGAGAAAAAGTGGCAAGGTACAATTTATTTTAAAATCCCACCTCAAATGAAGTCAGGAAAGAGTAAAAATGATTACGGGAAAATCCGTTTTTTTTTTCACCTATCTTAGAAAGCATTCCTGAGATAGACAACCATTTTCTTAGTTACCTAAACACGCAACTTTTACCCTCATTTTACCGACATCATAACTGTTAGTGTTTCAGAGATCCTAATGGAGGTCGTCAAAATTGAAACACTTTTAGTGACTAGTAAAATATTCAATCTTATCTACTCGTAAAACATCATGTGGGTTTCATGTTGATAAATTTCCATCTTTTCTTTCCGGCGCTAAAAAAATCATATAATATGTAGAATTGGCTGTTTACTTACTGTTACTTTTTTGTCAATGATGATATACAGAGTGTTCGAAAAAATAGACGGAGATATTTTAGAGGGTAATTTCTTGTTAAAAATATGAAAAAAGTTTTCAAGATACGAGAGGATAAATTTAAAAAAAATTAACTTAAAGAATATTAACTTGATTTTGTTGAAATTTGGCAATATTATTTGTTATATTAAGAGGCTGATTTAGCCCTAAATCGATCAAAACTATAAGGTCCAGTGGCATCCCGGGGGGCACCTTAGCGAATATTATTGGTAAAAAAATGTACACCACTGCCTTTTTTGTAACATTAATATTTGTTGTTTGATTAAGCATCTGAAAATACAACTCCTTTGTCTCTTGTATTTTTTTTCGTATCTCACTTTCGTTTTCGGTGAAGCAAAAACTGTTTTATTGCATGTAATTGGACAAAATTGGTTTATTATTGTTTGCTGAAAAAAGCACAAGTGCATTGGAAAACAAAAAAGCATTTCTGCAAGGAGGTTTGACATTTGCGCGTCATTTCTCCTAAAAAATAATTATTCACGTAATTTTCTTTGCGAAATTTCTCTAAAAAGTTTTTCTCTCGGTTTGTGTGATGGAAAATTTCACTTTTGAGGAAATGGCATGTATATAATGAATGCACGTGCTTGTAATAACTGTTATGCAGAAGCGTTTCCCCATCGGCAACTTCCAGATAGTAAAACCTTTGAAAGCGTAGACCGCAGATTACGGGAAAGAGGTAAATTTTCTTATTTCTTTTTCGTGATGTTTTTGACAATCATGTTATTCAGGAAGTTTTGCCATTCCCACGAATGATAGGGGCTGGCTGAGGTCCGTGAGAACGCCTGAGTTTGACGAGACAGTTTTAGGTGCTGTAGGAACAAAATCCTGGTATCAGCACCAGGACCTAGATTAGGGAGTAATCATTCCAACAGCACTATGTGGCAGGCTTCCGAGCAACTTTTGTATCCCTATCATGTCCGACGTGTGCAAGCATTATTACCAAGAGATTTTCTACCTCGTTTACAGGTCTGCCAATGGTAATATCAGAAGGTTAATAATAATAGGAATTTTAATAAAACCATATTTTTTACGGACGAAGCAGGATTTCGGCGGAATTGTTAATTACCATAACACGCATGTATGGAGTGACAAACATCTTCATGCTTACGTACAATGCCGCTACCAGGAACGATTTTCTTTAAATGTGTGACAATTGAATTGGTTCTTTCTTGTTACCCTTGAGATTATACGGCGGATCTTACTTAGAGTTTCTTCAACCAGAATTGCCCGTAATGCTAGAAGAAGTTTCCCTAAATGTACGTAACCAAATAACTTTTATGCACGATGGACCTCCTCCTCATTTTAGTATACCTGTCAGAACTCATCTGAATAACACCTTTGGTGAAAATTGGGTTGGAAGACGTGGACCAAAATAGAAACAATAGAAGAATTGAGAAATAAAATCGTAAATGATTGCGAATAAATAAGAAATAGACCTCGAATTTTAGCTCGAGTTCGTCGTTCATTGATTCGTCGAATGAGAAGGGGTACGGAAATGGATGGTGAACATTTCCAATATTTGTTGTAGTGTACTTTTTGTCATGTTACCTACTGGATAAGTTACAATAACACTCTTTCCTAGAAATTTTGTTGATTTTTTGTTTTCCAAGGCACTTGTGATTTTTGTAGCAAAAATTAATAAACCAAAGAAGATGTATTTTCAGATGCTTAATCAAACAACAAATAATGAAGTTACCAAAAAGGCAGTGACGTAGATTTTTTTGCCAATAATATTCGCTAACGTGCCCCAGTGACGCCACTGGAGGTAATAATTTTAATTCATTTGGGGTTAAATTATCCTCTTATAAATAATATTGTCAAATCGAGTAAATATTTTTTAAGATAATATATTTTTTAAAATTTATCACCCTGTATCTTGAAAACTCTGCATTTCCGGACCCATGTTTGTAGAAACCTATTTTCCTATTTTTTAACTCTGTCTATTTTTCGAACAAGCTGCATTTTTTCCTTGTCTTTTTTGATTTGTACTTTGAAAAAGCCATTGGGGCGGTCTAAACGCTAGTATAAAGTCAATTCTATACAGGGTGTTCCTTAATGATATGCAAATATTTGAGGGTGTGAATCTACATGAAAAATTAATATCAGTTTACTTTATAAACTATGGTCCAAAAATGTTTCCTTACAAAAACTCGGGGTGTTGAAGTGTTTCAGGAAAAAAAATGGAAATTAATTAATATTTTCAGAACCGCTTCAGATATTTCACTGATATTTAGTACGTAGTGAAAGTTGATAACGTTGCATATTTTTCAATACAAAATAATTTTAAGAAAAAAATGGTACGCCAATGGTTTTTTGAGTAATACAAACTATTTTTGAATTCCCCGTTCAATTTAAAACAAATGATCTCTCTTGAATTGTTTTCCTTCGATGCGCCATTTTTGAGTAAGAAAATAAAAATCTTTCTATTATCCGAGAAAATTAATCTAATAATTGAAGAATGCAATTTAGCAATAAATATCTAGTTGCCCTGGAATATGTCACTGGCTTTTTACATCTGACAAGTCTCTGTAATTCAAATCTGTTCGCTGTGACACCTTTTTCATTATTTAGGTTTTAGGTAATGTTGAGCAAGCCAGACGGATTTATCACCAGAGATATCCTGAATGTGGTTTTCCAGATAGTCGAACCTTTTCTAATATTCATCGTCGTCTTGTTGAAACTGGTTCTGTCCGAAAGCAACATCTGAAGCTAGACCTCTAAGTGTGAGAACACCTGAAATTGAGGAAGCAGTGCTGCACGAACTCGAAGAACATCCTGGAACGAGTACGAGGAAGATCGCTAGACACTTAAATATTTGCCATCAAATTGTTTGGAGAATTTTAGTGGATTTTTTGTTATATCCTTACCATATTTTAAGAGTACAGGCATTACTTGCCATTGATTTTCCAAGGCGTGTGACCTTTTGTCAGTGGTATCTTCAAAAAATTACACAAAATCAGCAATTTGAATCAATGATTCTGTTCACGGACGAAGCTAATTTTTCTCGAAATGCCATTCAGAATTTCCACAATAATCATTTGTGGGCAGAAGAAAATCCCTATGCCGTAACTTAAACCCACTTCCGACATCAATTTTCGGTTAACGTAAGGGCAGGAATTATTGGCAACCACTTTATTGGCCCATTATTCTTGTCGGGACGACTTGACGGACAGACTTACCTCAATTTTCGTCAACAACAGTTGCCTTTGCTGCGTGATGATGTTCCGTTAATAATAAGAAACAATATGTGGTACATGCATGATGGCGCACCAGCGCATTTCGTGTAGCGGTTCGTAATTATTTACAAACTGTTTATCCAAATCGTTGGATTGGCCGCGGTGGGCCCCAAAAATGTCCACCAAAGTCCACAGACCTCAACAGTTTAGATTTCCTTTTGTGGGGCTATCTTAAGACACTAGTGTACACAAGTGCCATTAACACTGTAGAGGAACTAAGTGAAAGAATAGTTGCACTCCAGGGATATTTCAACGAGTGAGCAATTCCATCAGAAGAAGGGCGGAAGCATGCATACTAAGTGCAGTGGCCCATTTTCAACAATTTTTATAATCATTTCGTTGGTTTTAATGTTGTGTTTATGGTGTTTATGGTGTCAGTTGTTGTTGTTCATTACCCGTAATGTGTATAATTTTTCCAATTGAATTAATAATAATTTTGCAAGTTAGACAATAGAACGATTTTTATTTTTTTACTCAAAAATGGCGCATCGAAGGAAAAGAATTCAAGAGAGATCATTTGTTTTAAATTGAACGGGGTATTCAAAAATAATTTTTATTTGGCAAAAAACCATTGGCGTACCATTTTTTTCTTGTAAGATATCGAAGTCAATACCCGTACGCACGCCACCGTTGAAGCTAAAAATTATTTTTGTATCGAAAAATATGCAACTTTATTAACTTTCACTACGTACTAAATTAATTAATTTTCATTTTTGTAAGGAAACATTTTTGGACCATACTTTATAACATAAAGCAAACTAACATTAATTTTTCATGTAGATTCACACCCTTAAATATTTGCATATCATTAAGGAACACCCTGTATATGTGTTTCCATTTGGTGGGTAGAAAAATGGATGTTTAGTAAAATATCTACCAAAATTTTCATTTCAATGAAAATCTAAGCATTATTTTATGATAATTGCCACTTGACAATCATCGTACAATCATTTCTAGAACGCATAATGTTAAAAATAATTAACAATTTTAGGATTTTTGTACGCCACTGGTCTAGCCGTGAATGTTAGCCAACCAAAAGCTCTTATACACTACACCTTCGGAGCAATTGGTGGTAATACCTGGGCACAGATGGCTTTGGGGTACCGATATTGGTCTGGAAACACTGTTGCCACTAGTTGCGAAAAGGCCTTGGATTTCTACAGATTAGTTGCTGATAAGGGTATGTCATCTACTATTCTATCTATTCAGACTGGTATAGCGTTTTGATATTATTGGAGCAAGAATATTAATCCTGATAAATTACTCTTTAAAATATGGCGAATTTCCAACAAAACCGAAATGTTCTACCATAACTGCTGTTAGAGCCAAGTTAAGAATTCTAAGCTCTACACTAATATGCGGCCAATAAATGTTCTGATAAATGTTAAAAAACTTTTTCAAGAAATAATTTACGAACAGATCATCGAATTTATCGAGGGAAATACATTTTTTATCAAATTTCAAGGTAGATTCAGGTAGAAACACTCAACTGAAACGACAATACAAATGGTTTTAGAGGACTGGAGGAGATGTATGGACATCAGGAAACATACAGTGACAGTGTTTTTGGACTTCAAATGGCATTTGAAACTATTGACAAAGATAAATCACTTACAAAGTTGCATCACTATGGATTTAAAGGATATGTATTCAAAATCTTACAAAACTATTTAATTGACAAATAAGCAAAATTGTATCTACATTATCAAGCTCAAAAAATATTTCTGTTTAGGTACCCTAAGGTCGTAAACTAGATCCACTACTATTTATTTTATACATTTTATTACATTTGTGTTATTTTATATTATTGTAACACTCAAATATTTGCAGAACATAAATTGATATACATATCAGATAAAAATATAGACACTGCTTTAAAAATGCTAAATTCTGACTTGGCAAAAATCATAAATTAAATGTAAATAAACTAAAATTGAATGCTTCTAAAACAAAATGTATGCTAATATGAAAATTTCTAAATGAAAATACTTTCACAGTTAGGATCAATTCAAAAAATTAAAACTTGAGGTAATGAAATTGATGCGTGGATACCATATTTTAGAGTAAAATTGACAGATGAAAATGTCAAGATGGCCGCTTGGAAAAAAATTATATGAAACCGGGGGTCCTGTGGTACATCATTTTGAAGCTCCTGACGAGTACTTTATAACCGAAGAATATAAAGTCAATACCTTCACCTACTACAAAATGGTGGTACATTTAAGAATTACCTGAATACATTGACATTTAACTTGATCATTCGAATAAACACGTTGGGTTCAGTTTAGAAGATGCTGGAAATGGTTTCTTTGAACTTCTTAACACAATAACAGCCGGTCCGTAATTTCGCGTCGAACATTTTCAAACATAGTAACATCGTTATTTCTACAAATATTTGTTACTCTCAGCCGTATATCTAATACTGAAGCAGGTTCAGTTTCGTACACCTTTTGCTTCAAATAGCCCCATGAAAAAGTCTAAAGGTGTCAGATCTGGCGAGCGAGCTGGCCATTCCACAGTACCTTGACGGCCAAACCAACGACCGGGGAAATTGTTATCTAAATAATTAATAACTTGTCTGTAGTAGTGTGGTGGAGCACCATCTTGCTGGAATACAATATCAGTATCGAATTCGTTAGGATTCGCTTCGACGATTTCGCTGATTAGAGGGTCAATAGTATTTTCCAGCATATCCAAATACAGTTCCCCGGTTGAAGTTTGTTCGATGAATAGAGGCCCCACAATACGATTTCCCAATATCCCAGCCCAAACGTTAATTTTTGTGGATATCGAGTACGAGTTTCCCGGAAGACGTGAGGATTAGTGTCACTCGAATAACGACAATTTTGTCTATGCACATTACCGTTGAGAAAAGATGTACATTCATCACTTATCACAAATATTTTGGATATAGGTAGGATTCTGTTCTTCGATCAGGGCCATCTTCAGTTAGCTGATGTACCGTTTGAATGTTGTATGGGTGATACTTATTCTTTTTCAAAAGTCTCCATACAGTAGAAGGACATATATTCGTGATGGAGGAAGTAGACTGTTGGGGACTTACTATGATATCACCAATTATTTGAACTTGCTTTTCTTCAGGGATGGTCGGATGACTTGGGGGCTTTTTGTTGTTTACACTACCAGTAGCTGTAAATTTAGATACTACTTCCCTTAAATATTTTCTACAGATAGGATGATTCGGGAAACGATCATTAAAAATCCTTTCGGTCGCGTCGCACCATAAATAAAAATTGCTTTGATTTTTTCTTCCAATCGACGCGAATTGACCATTTTAAAAATAGTTCAAACAATATCTAGCACTAAAACCGAAAACTAAATAAGAATATTTTAACTGCACAATGATGTTTGTTCTCGCACTGATATTCTTGTCACTGTCGACAAAAAATAACAAAACAAGTTTTTACCGCTGTTGCTGTGGATACGGCACGGAATTACTATTATTTGTAGAGATATGCATATTAGTGGGTTTGTGTTCAAGTAATTATTAAATGTACCACCATTTTGTAGTAGGTAAAGGTATTGACTTTATATTCTAGGGTTATAAAGTACTCGTCAGGAGCTTCAAAATGATGTGCCACAAGACCCTGTTTTCATATAATTTTTTTCCAAGATGGCGCCCCGCGGCCATCTGGTCATTTTCATCTTTCCATTTTACTCTAAAATATGGTGTCCACGCATCAATTTCATTACCTCAAGTTTTAATTTTTTGAATTGATCCGTTCAAAAAATCAAAGGGGAGGGGGTCATTAAAGAAAAGCACTGTATATCTTTATATTGATAGTAAACTACAGTTTGAGGATCACTGTGATTTGAAAAGTTACCACATACCTATTCCAGAAAAATAGTTTATGATACAGTTATTCACCTATATTGTTCATTTATCTTGTTCACTTCCAATGAAGTTGTATTATCAAAATTCTAAGTCCTGCAAAATAAAGTTATAGGAATAATATTGAATAAAAATAAGTACATCCTAAATAAAATCTGTCACAAGAATTTGCAGTGGTTGGATAAAGAAAAAATATCAAATTTGGTTCTTATTTTTATATTTAAAATAATGATTCAATCATTATACAAGACGAATTATAGATTTTCATTTACAAAATTGCAATAGTAATATAAATAGTGAATCAATATTTCAGAAAGGATTACTTGAATTTAATAAACTAAATAATGATATAAAGTCTACTTGTAATTTAAATATTATTAAAAGAGAATTAAAGGAATATTTCACGGACTGAAAATTCTTACAGATGCAAATTTTGTTTTTCAAATATCGGCATGTTATGTAATTGTTGTAGTTTTTTAAAAGAATGTAGTTGTAGCAATAATGCTAAATAAATCTAAGACAAAAAAACAAAACGTCTTATACTTGTTACTGTTACATCTACTGAATCTCAAAAATGAATTTAGTATAATATTTCTACCATTTTCCGCACTTTGACTTTATTTCCATATTTCGAAGTAGATCGGATGGAACTTGGATTTTATACTAGAGAGCACTGTTAATGAAAATATACTATAGGGCAGTAGTGTTATTTCCAAATACAAGTAAATAGCAAATCGCTTGCTCTCCTGTTCAAAATTCGATAAGTCTTGCTCCATTAATTCCAAAGATATTTGACCATTTTCAGAGTTTTAAATAAACCTAGTTATATCAAGTGCATGCTTGTTAAAATTTTAGTGAGTCAAGGTGTGACGTTCGGTGGAGGTGCAGCTATCCAAAGAATTCGTCTTCTGGATGAAGTTGAAAATGGATATACATCGGGGATTTTAGACAACGACCTCATTGAATATTATCAATTATTGGCCGAGAAGGGGGATGTCCAAGCGCAAGTATGTAATTTCTGTTATACAGGGTGTACCGCAATTGAAGGATAATCCTACAACTGTAGATAGAATTTTGTTTTATTAAAATTCTTGCGTATATTCAGTTAGTCCCATGCCTTTTCTACAAATATCAACTTTTGTGAATCAGGTTCATTTTAAAACACTCAGAATTAAGCATTTTATCTCGACCAGAATTATTTTTCCTTAAGGTGGCGAAAAACCCAGAGTCATGCCAAAGTCTAAATTTTTATAAAAACCCCGTTTTGCGTCTGTCTTTGACACCCTATAGAGTCAGATGATCAAGTACGATCACTGTGCAAATTTGACGAAAAAGTTGACCAACTATTGGCAATTTTTGTATTACTGTTACTCTCCTCTGCTGTCTTTTTCATTTTATTGCAGTTATAATGGAAGGTGGTCAGTTTTCGTAGATATCAATGTAACAGGGCACCAATGACTGTTATGCATTGTAACATGCCAAAATCACATACCTTTTTTTCTTCTATTTTGATCACTTACCAGTAATTTGGATATATCTTTATTAATGATAGAGTGCTGAATCCTAGGCCAAACCCTTTTCAATGATTTTCTTTGGTAAATTTTATAATTTATTGATCTATTGAGCTTGAAACTACCCAATCCTGAAAGTATAATTTCACACATATTATATCTTTATTTCTTACCGACTCAGTATTGTGTTGAGATCTTTTGGACACTGATGTTATAACATTTTATTAATGACTCAATCGTTTTATTCCAAAAATTTCCTCATAAAACATCGTTGGTTCCTCGTGAACTGATTTCTTTTACCTGCAACGTTTTTCAGAACCTTTACATGGCCTCGCCTGATAAAACACCACAATCTTTGGAAATAACACAACCGTATTTTTATGCAGTTGCTGCTGTTTGTGCTAATTACTTTAGTAGATTAATAGATTTAATAACAACCTTTAATCATTGTTGTTCTTATTGAACGAAAACACATCAGTTGTCAGTGTTTTTTCCGAGCATGAAAGCTTTCTAGGATCTACTAGGCAACCAGCGATGTTGTGTGTAGGTTCGATTGCGGGACTTTTCTTAATTTCTGAATGCTTTTGTCAGGTTTTTGGGATTGTTTTGTTTTCCTTAGGCGAAACTTTATTTCGTTATGCATAGATTGAATATTAGACAGTTTGGTTTGGAAATCGCAATTTTTCATTCGTCATTATTATTTTTGGCACATATTTTGGTTTCGATATAGTTTTAGTGTTGATTCTGTGGAGCGTAGAATTTTGGTATGCCCTCCTACCTTTGACATTGATTGAAAATTCGTGTCGGTCGTTTCCTACGGAAGCCTTCGTTGAGAATGTGTATCGGCCCTTCATTTGGTTTCCAAACTTTTGGATATTGGGCCCCAATCACCAGTTTACGGAATAGTACCTTTTTTCTTATCTACCTTACCTTTGGTAGTTTGTTTTGGTTGTTTTTTGGTGCTACTCCGTCCATTTTTATGGGATTTAACCTCTTCAGCGGTAAGCTCTTTTTTATACCATCTCACCACGTGCATTGATGCATGTCCGGAAGAAGTAGGCTCAAGTGGGCGTCAAATTTCTTTACAATATATGATTCCTTTTAGTAGCAAGGTTTTGACGAAAACCACCATCCGTACTTATCCAGCTTTGTAGCTGTTTTGTAGCCAGTTGCACACGATTTTGTGAGAACCACCCCTGTTTCTTGAGAAAAAAAACCCTGATAAAAAGAGGTAAAATATCATTTTGATTAAATTTTTTATGAATATTTATATACAGGATGCGCCATCTTTTATGTCGGTATGTAAACATGAAATAACTTTGAAAACGCAAAACTGATTTCTATATATCGATTATTTTTATTAAATATGTCCCTTTACAATTTATTGGTACTAGTTTTTGAACACAACATCTAACAATTGGCCACTTTATTGGCCAAAACAAAATGTGGCCGTTTTGCTGCTTTTTCCATTACCTTGTCGAGCATCTCTGGTGGTATGGCGGCGATTGCGGTACGAATGTTTGCCATGAGTTCTTCAGAGGTCTGGGGCTTACTGGCGTACACTTGACTTTTCAAATAACTCCACAAGAAGAAGTCCGGTGGGGTCAAATCTGGAGACCTGGGTGGTCAGTCAATGTCACCTCTTTTTGACATCAGACGTCCAGGGAATTTTTGTAGCAGAAACTGGATTGTTTCATTTGCAGTGTGGCATGGCGCACCGTCTTGTTGAAATGAAATCAGAAACCATCAAGACCTTTTTCACGCATTTGTGGGCAGACAATGAGCCAACATCCACCGATATCAATTTCCAGCGACTATTTCGTTTTCGTTGAAGAAAAATGGCCCATTGATGGTTTTGGCGCAAACGCCGGCCCAAACAGTCACTTTCCGGTTATGCAACGGCATTTCGTGGATCTCATGTGGATTTTCCGTCCCCCAAATGCGGCAGTTTTGCTTATTAACGCTTTCAGAGAGCGTGAAATGGGCCTCGTCGGTCATCACAATTTGCTTCCAAAAATCAGGTTCAGCATCAACCATGCGAGCGACAGTTTGGGCGTATTCCAAGCGACCTGGACGGTCAGTTGGCAATATTTTTTGTGTTAACTGCACCTTATAAGGAAACAAATGCAAATCATCCGTCAAAATGCGCCGCAACGTGGTTCCACTGATCCCAAAATGCTGAACGCGGTGACGATTCGACACTTTTGGGTTCTGGGCAACGCTGTCTCTGACTACTTCAACCAATTCATTGGAACGTCTTGGTCGTTGATGAACGGTATGTTGACGATCTCCCATTGTCCCGTACTAAAGAAAATTCGAAACCAAACGACGGATAGTGTTGTCAGACGGTGCCTGTTTGCCACGATATTTTCGACGATACGCACGTTGCGTTAACACAACTGAACGACGATTTTCAATGTACATTGTGACAATTTCGGCGCGTTGTTTCGGTGGAAAGCGATTCATGACTAAAATTGTAGTAAATGAAATTTCAGAAACACGTAGGAACCAAATCACTCGGTTGGTAAATATCAAAGTCATTCGATGTTTCAATACCGACATGAAATATGGCGCACCCGGTACTCAGTGACATACACTCAGAAAAAATAATTTCTCCAACTTGTTTTTTTGGCAGCATAATGACTATATTTAAAGCATGCTGTAGCAACAATGTCAACGTTTTATCTTTGTTTTTGTTTACATTTGTTAAACTGTTCTCTTAGTTTTTGTGAAGTAAGCAGTTTCTGATAGCTGAGTAGTACATATATTTTTAGTTAATGCCCTTTCATTTACTAGTGTTAAGCATAATAGAATGCCTCGAGTTCGAAGGCGTCCAAATTATCACCATGTTAGCGACTATGACAGGGGTAGAATTATTGTCTAACGAGATGTTGGTTTGTCCTATCGCGAAATTGGTCGCCGTGTTAATTGTACTGCGATGAAGGTAATGCGTGTGTATCGTGTGTGGATAGAAGAAGGTAGAGGAACACGAAGAAAGCCAAATGGTCCACCGAGGCGTACCACAGAGCGTCAAGATAGGCGCTTCAGGCAGCTAGCCCTACGAACCGTTTTGCTACTTCGCGTCAGATCGCTGACCAATGATTTGGAGAAGAAGGTAGACCTGTTACTATGTGTACACTCTCTCGCCGCATTCGATCCTTTGGACCTTTTTCATACCGTCCACTGTTAGTACTTCCTCTGACTGCGGACCACTGTCGTCAACGTTTGAACTGGAGCAGAGAACGGCAACATTTAGAGGCAGAATGGCATAATGTCATCTTCAGCGACGAATCGCGATTCTGTCTAGGTATGGCGTGATATTGGATTTGCTGTCCTACAAACCACTTTACTACCGTATCTAGAGGGCCGTCTCCACGACTTTTTTGACAACGCACGTCCTCATATTGCTCGATTAACTACGGACTTTCTTCAAGAAGCAGGCGTTAATGTTTTACCGTATTTAAATCCCATCGAACATGTGTGGGATATGATGGGGACTATCTACTTTGCACCATCCGCCACAGACTCTTCCACACCTAATCCACGACGTTCGAGCTGGAATGAGGTGCCACAACCAGACTTGGATCATCTCATTTTGTCGATGCCTAGACGTATTCAGGAGTGTATTCAACTGCGGGGTCGCCCCACACATTATTTTTTTTCTTATTACTTGTCAATAAAATTTCGTGAGAATATTATCGTTTCATTCTTGATGTAAGACTACCTCATTGCCAAACAATCAAGTTGAAGAAAATATTTTTTCTGGGTGTAACAATTTTGTCACTGAGTACACATATATATTGATAATTGTTGACTGAAATTCTTAGAGTGTACTTGATTTCGTCTTTCATTTTTTCGTGTTCAAATATGGGGCAGTTGCCTACACTGGCACCTTCTCTCGAGCTTGCTTCCTTACATTGACCATGGTTTTTATTTTTGAGCTGCCATACTTTTTTGGAATAAGGGATAACAGACGACTAATAACAATAATAGCATTAAAAAAATAATAGTTGACCAACTTTTTCGATAAATTGGCATAGTGGTCATACTTGATCCTCTGATTCTACAGGGTGTTAAAGTCAGACGTGAGAAGGGGTTTTCATAAAAAATCAGACTTCAGCATGACTTTTATATGTTTTTTTCGCTACCTCAACGGAAAATAATGATGGACAAGATAAAATGCTTGATTCTGAGTATTTTAAAGCAAACCTGGTCCAAAAAAGTTGATATTTGGAGAAATTGTGGAACTAACTGAATATAAGCAAGTTTCTTTTTTAAAATGCTGAAAATATCAAAAACTACAAGACTTTTAATAAAACAAAATTTCACCATCTAGTAGGCAATTTTGGGCCACCCTATATATTATTTGTTTTATCTTTTGTATGAAATAGGAGGATGATTGGAGGATATTATTATTAAATTACTTAGAAAATTACATCAATACTGATATAAAGGATGTGTATTCAAAATTCTACAAAACTATTTAATTGACAGAAGTCAAAAAACCGAAATTGGATCTGCATTATCAGGCTCAAAAAATATTTCTGGTGGCACACCACAAGGAAGTAAACTAGGTCCACTACTATTTATTTTGTACATTAATGACATTTGTAAAATTCAGATATTTGCAGATGATACATTAATATACATATCAGATGAAAATATAGACACTGCTTTAAAAATGCTCAATTCTGACTTGGCAAAAATCATAAATTGGTTAAATGTAAATAAACTTAAATTGAGTACTTCTAAAACAAAATGTATGCTAATAGGGAAATACCTAAATGAAAATATTATCACAGTTAAATAATATAAATTGAAATAATTTAAAATGTTGAATTAAGTAAACATTTAGGTATATACATTGATAGTAAACTAAAGTTTGATGATCACGATGAATACGTTATTTCAAAAATTTCCAAAAAAACAAATTACTCTTATAGGGCTTCTCATAGTCTTGGTACATATTCTAAGAAAATAGTTTATAATACTATTATTCTTCCGTATTTACTATAATGTTCAACTATCTTGTCACTGCCAATGATGCTGTATTCTCAAAATTACAAGTCATGCAAAACAAAGCTATGAGAATAATATTGAATAAAAATAAGTACAAATAACTTACCAAAATATATTAGAGAAAACCGAATATCATTATTAAAAATAGATTTATACTAGTGGCTTTTGAGAACTGATATAAACATGATGTAATTTATAAAAAACGAATATATAAATATATTTTTTTCATTGCTAATCTACAATCCAAAATTAATGTACATATTTCATTTATATTATATAGATTTTTTCAACCCCATCAATTTGTTTACAATTTGTAATTGATGTGAATAAATTCGTATTGTTATTATTATGATACTTATAGGAGTGCGGATGAAATATTCACAGCAGTTACTGCATATTTTAATAAATTATCGTCACTTGGTTCTATAAGGGTTGAATGAAAAGTTCCTTAGAACTATTGACTTGTAACTTTGTTTTTAGGTGGGCTTAGGCCAGTTGCATTACCAGGGCGGTAGAGGGGTAGATCTAGATTACCAAAAAGCTCTACATTATTTTACTCAGGCTGCTAATGCTGGAAACGCAATGGCTATGGCGTATTTGGGGAAGGTGAGTAATTTAAAATATGAACTATGTGCTTCCATTTAGCTCCTGTGCAAACTCTTCTTGTAATATTACAAGTTCTCTCACTATAAAGAAACACCCACTGGTAAAATATAGTAAATGAATAAATCTAATTAATGGCTTAATCGAATAAATAAGTGATAATCTGTCATACATTCTTGAAATCATTTTAAACTCTATTCTTTTATGCGAAAATTCGGTGTAAGTAAAAATAATGTTGATAATTGGTGACTAAAACGAAACGTCCGATAGAAATTATGATGCGTCCTTGTAGAGGAGAAAGAGTCTCAAAGGTAATATGCAGTTTCTTTAGAGATGTCAAAACTCAAAAAACTAAAACGATTTTGGTTTTTCCGTCTATAAATATTCTGAATTGAACTTCAAAACGGTGTTTGAGACTATTGACAGAGATAAATTACTTACAAAGTTGCATCACTATGGATTTAAACAAAATTCTACAAATTTCTTAATTTACAGAAGTCAGAAAACCAAAATTGGATCTACATTGTCTTGCTCTATTTCTGTCGTAAACACTAGGTCCACCAGTATTTATTTTATACATTAATGACATTTGTAATATTTTAGAATATTGTAAAATTAAGATATTTGTAGATGATACATTCATATACATATCAGATGAAAATATAAACATTGCTCCAAAAATGCTAAATTCTGACTTGGCAAAAATCATAAAGTGGTTAAATGTAAATAAACTAAAATTGAATGCTTTTAAAACAAAATGTTTGCTAACAGGGAAATATCTAAATGAAAATACTATCACAGTTAGGATAAATGCTGAAATAATTGGAAATGTTGAATCAATTAAATATTTAGGAATATATATATATTGATAGTAAACTAAAGTTTGAGGATCACTGTGAATACTTTATTTCACAAATTGCCAAAGAAACAAATTTACTCTTCCCATAGTGTTAGTACATATTCCAAAAAAATAGTTTATTATACAATTATACTACCGCATTTACTATATTGTTCAACTACCTTGTTCACTGCCAATGAAGCTGTATTCTCAAAATTACAAGTCTTGCAAAATAAAGCTATAAGAAAAATATTGAATAAAAATGAGTACCTACACCGAAATAAAATATATGTTACAAGAATTGCAGTGGTTGAATATAGAAAATTTCATATAACATTTGGTTCTTATTTTTATGTTTGAAATAAGAAATATATGAATTGTAGTAGTCATGCTAAATAAATCTTCAACAAACAACAAACCCAGAAAAGTTGACAAGTAATGTCACTAATACCTTTCAATATTAAAAATCGGTAAAACTCGCTTCGATCACTGGTTCCAGTTTACTACTGCTCACTAGTGGCATCCATTACTTTAGATACCACCAGCAGCAAAAATCTTTTTTGGAATCAGCAAATTGCTCTCTCTTCTAATGTGCTGTTAGTAGACTAGATTAGTTGCTAGTAATTGGGTATCCAAGAATATTTTACGTCGTATTTTATGAAATATTTCTGTTGAGTTCGTTTATTATTTTTAGATATACCTCGATGGAAGTGATGAAATTCCAGCAAGTAACGACACTGCTTTCAAGTATTTTAAAAAAGCTTCTGATCTGAACAACCCGGTCGGCCTAAGTGGCTTAGGTTTAATGTACTTATATGGAAAAGGTGTGGAGAAAGATTATACCAAAGCACATCACTATTTTCTTCTTTCTGCTGAGCAGGGATGGGTAGATGGACAACTGCAACTTGGAAACATGTATTTCAGTAAGTATTTGTGGATCTAATAAGTGCTCTGTATATATATATAACTTGAGACGTGGTCATTGTCGTCTAGACCAGTTAGGTGAAAAATTAAAGCTTCCGCCTTTTGTTGGGTACTTCGACAAAATTTAAGCAAAGAGGACTCTTTATACTTTTTTTAATTCTCTCTAGCTTTCAATGGACTTTGGCATCATCATCAGGAGCTGCAATTACATTGATAACAGTAGCAACAATAGTGTAAAATGAATTTAAATTGACTTCTTTATGTCTAATTATATTTATTTTCCAATATTAAAACGCTTGGATAATTTCCTTACACTTAAGTTCTTCTTATTGCGAACTTCAGCAATCGCAGTTTTTTGTTTAAGCTTCAGAATTTTGCTATTTGGAGCCATTTCTATAATAAATGTGTCGTCCATTGTGTCTTTTCCGCGTAGACGTTAAACTAATACTGAATGCAAATTTAGTCGAAAGCGTGTACCCAAAGAATAAGAACGGAAAAAAAGGCAAGGCGTTTCTTATTATTTTGTTTTTTGTCCTGTTAAGAGAACATTTTCTAGTGTCCGCGTCCGTTCAAGAGAGAGTTGATACATTACAAATTATATGAGAGTCAGTCGGGACCATGAGCAACTATCCGTTTAAAGGAGCTGTTCGTGTAAGAAGGGGAATTTCACTGTATTCATTTTGTCCACCAGCCATAAAACTCATTTTGTTGCATTCACTGGTTACAGTGATTCCTTGCCCAACCATGAAACATTACGGTTTAAAAGTAAAAAGCGTCCAAGCGCTCATCCGCACGGGTATCATGTATCTTGACGTTATATCGATTTGTTGACAATATACTGTTTTTTTTGATATTATGTCGGTTTTTCTACAAGATTTTAACTTAGCACTTATTTGTACGTGTTGTCTAAACGTCATGAGGCTTCAGTTATCAATGTTTGGCTCTGATGTGCTGTAAAATTCTATAGCTAGAAGAAAACGGCAATGCGTAGGTGAATAATGAGGATTTGTGTGCTTATAATATGTGCTAATGACAATTCCATTGAATTCTTGTCTCAAGTACACTTGAGATTCAAAGCTAGAAATCAGTTGCGCTGCCACTTTTTCTTATCCATTCTGGAAATTACATATACAAATTTGCTGAATTTCAAAAATGAAAGAGATAAGAAATAATTATATTCACTGGACACTGTCGAAGTACAAGCCATATACATGTTAACAGTAATTACACACAATGCGGGTGCGGTGATGATTTGCAGTAATTTTCCTCATTTTTTCGTAATTTATAACTTTGAACATAACCTCTCTTCAGAAAACATACAAAATCAACATATAAATAATCCGCCATATTCAGCATATTCAGTAATGATTATCTCACACAGCAAATATCACTGATTTTATACACATGCAGAAAAATACCCATAATCATCCAGATGCGATCTTGCTATTCAACCAACTTTCTTCTCAGAAATAAAAACTACAGACACGGAACACTCAGCCTCACAAAACATGTGCAACCAATAATGCGTGTAGTTTAGTTGAGTGATTCCTCCATAGATCGAACTTCACAGGGATCCTATTGCGTAAACGTGGATTGACTGTTTACGCCCTTTTTTTACCCGTGCCGGTCTCGATGGATGACCGAGTTCTGCCAAAGAGCCGTTCATTTCGGGTGGTCGGAGTCCGGATCACCGAGGACTTGATCTGTCACGCATACATCTCATCACTAGCGGTAGCTGCTGGGAAAAGGCTAGGCTATGTTTAGGGCTAACAAGGACTTTCTCCGCATGACCTTCTCACTCTCTACAAGGCCCAGATAAGACCTAGCCTCGAGTATTGCTCACACGTTTGGAGTGCTGTCGTCCCGACTACATTATTTATGCTCGATGCTGTCTGCGATCTAGAAACTTATAAGTGTACTGCCACCACAAATTTGAGATACACCCCACCACCCACCCACCTATTTTCTCCCCTAAAAGTATTTCCAAAAATGATTTTTCATTTTTGGCCCACAGCTTCGCCGCTTTTTTTTCCTTAGCATAATAGCAATCTTGTGTGAACATTTCTCAAGTTATAGACGTGCCAAGGATTAGCGGACAGACAGACAGACCGACTGAAATGATGTACACTACCATTCAAAAGTATTTGCATATTTCTATTTAAAATCGTAACAAACAAAAAAAATATTCAGTACGTATTTATTTTTCTTTGTTTATTGAAAACCATTACGATGGAAATCAAGCATCACTGAAAGGTCATTGATATAAAAATTTTGCTCACACAATTATTGGGATCCCATCATTAGCCATAATAGGAATTTCTTTGCCTTTAGAATATTGTTATGTTGTTGTATAGGAATTCTTTCTTAGGATTTGTTTTTCGATTATTTCTTTTAATTTGTGTTGTACGTAAGCCCATAACACAGTTTTACTTCAGTTATCTGGTCTCATTTGATAAATTTACCGTGCTTCAATACCTTATAGTTCAAGATTGTTCAACAAATGCGTTTTCGTTTATTTTTTCTGGACAAAATGGGTAAAACTAAAGAATATTCCGAGAAGATAAAAGGAGTTATTATTGGTCTTCATCAATTCGGCAAAAGTATTCGGAAAATTTCTGAACTTCAGAAGGTACCACTGTCATCTGTACACTGCATTATTAAGAAATTTAAGGCTCAAGGCACAACATCCATAAGCTTCTACCAAAGACTTAAGCATAATAGTGAAAAGTAAACGCAATAAACGCGTGACTGCTCCCGAAATAGCAGCGGACTTGAATGTGGGCCTTAGTAAACCTGTAAGTGAGACTACACTTAAGAGAAGGTTCCTCGAAGCTATACTATAACTATCTAAAACTGTAATGACTCATCGATGTTCACGTGAACATCACTTAACTACCGGTAGTCGGCTGTTCATAGGCGGGGTATGAATGTTTAACATGGGTGAACTAGATTTGTCACATGCTTAATAAAGAGTGGTTTGAAACATAGTGTAAGTCAAAAATTTGGGAATTACCTTTATTCATCGTCGCTTCCACTTACATCTGACAGTAATAAACTGTCGCTATCGCTTTCCTCGTTGAAATTGACTATAACTGGCTCTATGATGGTGTCGATGTGGTGGTCAAGCTGCCACATTTTTGTTTCTTCCTTCACAACATGACTGATAGCATTCTGCCAAGCTTCGGGCGTTACTAGCTGTATGGAAGTCTCAAGTAAAACCTTAACGTCTGGTAATTTGAAGGTTGTGTTATCGCGCGCAATATAACCCTTCACTTTAGCTCAGATGAGCTCTATTGGGTTCAGTTCACAGTGGTAGGGCGGTAACCGCAGCACAGTGACACCACATTGACGGGCCATCTCATCAGTCACGTAACTAATGTTCGCAGGTTTGTGCTGTTTAATTTTTTCATACAATTCCGCTTTCACACATGAATCGTCAAACGGGATTCCTTTTTCGCGCAACCATTGCTGCATGTCACTTTTTCGAGATCCCATAGTCGGTACACGTTCGGCTCGACGACTATGGTAGGAAGCATTATCCATGACGATCACAGAGTTGGGCTCAACTCGCTGAAGCACCCCTTGAAACCAGCTCTCGAAGCAGCTGGCATTCATTTCGTCATGGTAATCACCTCCTTTCTTAGAGACGAAAATCAAGTCACACTCTTCTAAAAAGCCACTATCGCTACCAATATGAGTTACGATCAATCTTTGACCTTTCCCTGACGGTCCACGAAGACCTGTTGACAAACCTTCAATGCTTGCTTGTCGGTTACTCACTACGTTTTTGTCTATACAGGTTTTTTTAACTGTGTGACCTGCATTTACCCATGTCTCGTCCAAATAATAGATTTTTCTGCTTTGTCGCCTATATTCAATCATTTCGCGTAGGTATTTTCGACGCCAGGCGACTATTTCAGGTCTCTCTATCAATACTGACTTCCGATTACGCGTTTCGTAACGAAAATTAATTTCGTGCAGGGATTTCCTCATTACCTCGACGCTCATTTGGGGTATAATTTCATTTTCCTTGATCGCTGCATGTACAGCCTCGAGGGTTGGTATCTCATTCCTAAAGAAGAATGAATGTACGGTTCGCCTTAACGCCATTTTGCTATCGTCATCCAATTTAACGGCCTTTCGTCCCTTCAAATTAAACTTTGGATCAGTAGTAGCTCCAGTTTTCTTCTTTTCATGCACCACCCTGCGAATGGTCCACTCTGGAACGCCTGTCATACTTTCACAACGCGCGAGTGCATCTCCCTGCGACATAGTTCTGTTCAGATAATTGAACACGTTGAGCACGATTTCTTTCGCGTCCCTCTTCAGTGCTTTACGAAGCCGTCTACTTGTTCCCTGGCTTTCAGTACTTCCACTCGTGCCATTTGTACTCTCCATTGTTGAGTATAACCAAAACAGTAACCACAGAAACCACAACAATAACAATCACACAACAATTCTTATAAAAACACACAATATGCGATCGCTCAACGAAACACGTTCCAATGCGTTGCCGACGCCTATGAGTCTGCCGGCCGAGGCGCGTCTTTGATTTCATTGGTTCTACCGGCGGAGAACAATCAGCCATTATTTCCATCTCTGTCTGTGCTGTTGACCACCGCAAAGCTACAGAAACGACATATGTCGTACGCTATACGGCTGTACTGGAAGGAAGCCGGGATCGAGCTCTGATCACGTGTTGATCACGCGTATGAGTCATTACAGTTTTAAATAGTTGTAGTATAAACTTAAAGAATGCATAGCAGTATGGAAACCACTTCTCAGGGCTACTAACAAAAAAGAGACTGAATTGGGCCAAACATCATAATTGGACGGTTGCTGACTGGAATAAGGTCCTCTGGAGCGATGAATCGAAATTTGAAGTTTTTGGTTCCAAGAGAAGAGTATTTTTCCGCCGTCGGCGGCAGAGGGCATTAGAATCATGCAGCGTCGCTTCAGTCAAGCATAGTGGAGGCTGTATAATAATTTGGAGCTGTTTTGGTGGTTCCGCTCTGGGGGATATTGTGAGAGTACAGGGAATACTGAATAAAGAAGGTTATAAAGCTATATTACAAAATCGTGTTGTGCCTTCTGGGACTCGTCTTATTGGTCCGGGATTGTCTTTCAGTATGAAAATGACCCCAAACACACATCCAAGCTCTGTAAACAATTTTTGGAAGCAAAAGAAGAACAGAATATTTTAAAAGTCATGCAATTGCCTCCCCAATCCCCGGATCTGAATCCGATGGAGTTGTTGTGGGATCAACTGGACAGACAAGTACGGAGATGTCCTACACATCAAGAACGCTTTGGAGAATATTACAAGACGAATGGCGAAAAATAACCCCATCCGCTTTAGAATAATTAGTTGCGCGCTTACCCATCATTTGCCAGGCTGCAATTAAAAGTAAACGAGCGCATATTGATGAGTCAAAAATATGATTATTTTGATTATAAATAGTTGTATGTGGTTAAGAATTAAGAAAATATTAAATGTTTCATACAGATATTGTAATGTTTTCTTTAATAACTTCTATCAGTTTACTTGTTTTCTGGCTTTTTGAATGGTAGAGTATATACACCAAAAAAAAAAAACACACAAAAACACTTGTCCAGTAGGCGAAAAAAGTAAAAATGGCTGTATCATCTGCGAAACTAACGATTTCTCTCACTTCTATCAGGTTTTGGATTTCATTCACGTATACCGTAAACAAAAGCGGCCCTAAAACTGTGTTTTGCGGAACTCCGCGTGTTAGTATTATTTCTGTATCATTGCCGTCATCTATAACGTATGTGTCGGCAATTACAAGAAGCCTTGCGGGATAAGAGAAGTAAAACTGCAGACCATACTGGTGTAATTACTATATTTTATTTAGTAATAACCGAAAAAGTAGAGAAGACAGTAACATAGAAGTGCTACCCGATAAGAAATGCCGACTTAACATATCAGACTAGACACGGGTATAACGAGCAACGTGTTCAGTCTCCAGACAACGCAACGTTGCCAAACAGTAACGTGCGATATTGCATATTTTAACAGTATGTCCTAAAAGTTTTGGCACAACATATTTAACGGATTTTTTTAATGAAGAAATTTATTTAAACACAACCAGTTATCATAAACTACAACTCAATACTTAACTAAATTATGCAATCGAATTATGTGGAGCGGCCCATTTTGCTCTACCAAACGCAACTCTCTTCGAATGCCTCTCATGAGGTCCTGGACGGAATTCAGATCAATTTCTCTTAGTTTTTCGTCAATTAGCCGGCTTAATTGTTCTTCATCTTGGGCTTCCCGGCCTCCATGATAAACCTTTCTAGACAGTAAAGCCCAAAAATCCTCTATTGGGCGAGCATGCGACAATTTTGGAGGATTATCGTTTTTGGGAACAAAACGTATGTTATGTTGTCGAAGCCAGTTTGGGGCATCTCTTCATTAGCATGATGTTTGTGGACAAACTGAAGCACTTTGGAAAGGCAGTCATCAATATAGCTCTGACTATTCAAAGCTCCATCCTTCAGTCTTCCCACAAAAGGTTGGGATACCCCCTGTTAGAAATTGCGCACCGGACAAGGATTTTATCTGCAAATTTTGCTTTATGTTTGTATCTAACATTGTCAGCTCGTTCCTCTACGTTGTCCTTATAAAATCCGTCGTTTCCTTTCATTTCAGAATTACTCAAAGTGAAATTCTTTTCGTCATCTGAAATAATGATTTTTCCATTGACAAAGTGTATGAGTCTCAGTTGACGACAGTATCTTGGCATACGAAGGAGCTGCGCTTGAGTGTATTTGGGGCACTTAAGTCTCTTTCAATATTTAAGACCTTTCCTCCTCAATTCCAACGATATCGTACTCTAAGAAGATCCCTATTGACGAGCCTGACTCCTTGTTGACATTCCAACGTGATTTTTTGTTCTTCTCACCAATCTCTCTGACCTCTGAGCAGTAAATCCACGTGGTCTTCCACATTTTGGAAGATTCAGACATGGTATTCCCTGCTCGCACTCGGCTATAGTTCGACAAATGGTTCTGCGTGAAATGTTTTCATTCTGGAATATTCCTTAGATTTCAGCTTTGGGAACCCGCCCAACCAACTTGTAGATACTTTTCTAATTTATACGACATCTTAAAGGGAAAACTTCAAAATAAATAAATCTCAACTGACAATAAAGTAAACAAACTTTTGTTTCCAAAGGCAACTTGATATTATTTTGTGTTTGTTAAAATTAAAGCCAATGAATTTTGTGCCAAAACATTTAGGACCTACATTAATAACTTTTTGACGTCGATTCACATCGTTGATTGTGACCGAAATTATTTCTTTCAGATGGTTTAGGCGTGAAGAAAGACTACAAAATGGCGAACAAGTACTTTTCCCTGGCGTCACAGTCAGGGCATGTACTGGCGTATTACAACTTGGCCCAAATGCATGCTCAAGGAACAGGGATGCTTAGATCGTGTCCAACTGCTGTAGAGTTGTTCAAAAATGTCGCGGAAAGAGGTAGATGGGGCGAACTATTGATGCAGGTAATATTAAAAAATTTCTATTGATACGAGGGTTGATCCCTATGCTTCATCATAACCCACTAGTATTGCAGCTAGAATAATTTAAAGTTTTATTTTTATATGTAATCAGTAGTATTAGGGTCACTTGAGCCTGGAAAAAAATTACAGACCGTGGGAAAAAGACAGACAGACCGACATAATGACAGATAGACATTGCACATGCAGCATTTGTGGCCAAAGATTGCATAACGATCAACCGGTGTGTTGCGACAACAGTCTGGTGGGTTTTCGCGTTTTCGGAGGACTTCTGTCGTTTTCGGGACGATAGTCGAGAGTGGCGTGTCTGGCAAATTAAAGAAATGATGGATAACCCCATGCTCGCTTGTCACTTTAGGATGCTGGACGTCCCTTTGTTAGCGGGAATGCATACCAAAGTGTATAGTAACAAATTCATAGAAATCTGGGAAAAACAAACGAACTATCGACAGATAAACGATTCTTTGAGAAATTTCAAGACAAAAAGTTCATACAAACTTATTTCCGCAAATTCTTCGTTCTCAAGATACAGGGTGTCAAAATTAAAAAAAAATTTTTTCGTAAATATCTTAAATACCCTGTACCTAATTTTGTTGTAACATGGCGGTGGTACAAAGGGTACTATAAAAGTTTTGCAAAACAGCTTTATTTATTGACTTCGTTCAAAGTAATTTCCACCACAATCAATACACTTCTCCATCCGCCAAAACCATTCCTTAAACTAGCTCTGCCAAGTTTCACCCGGGAGTGCGGCACACTCGTTTTCCCAAGCCAACAGCAGGTCCTCATCGCTAGAAAACCGTTTTCCTTTTAGCTTCATTTTCACATGCGGAAACAGTGCAAAGTCCTCATCATCAAAGACCAAACTTTGTTTTGAGCCTTTGTTCGGCACATGGTAATAATCGAGCCAAGTCTCGTCACCTGCCACGATGCTGTTCTCATAGCGAGATTGCCCCTTATCAAACATTTTCAGCATCTTTCGGCACCAAGTCGTACGACGAGTCTTCTGCTCTTCCAACAGAATATGCGGTACCCAAAGAGAAGTTTCCTTACGTGTAAATGGTCATACAGAATTGAATTAATTGCTGTTTCATGAAGGTGTAAGGTCTCCTCTATCTGTTGGTATGACACTCTCCGGTCTTCGTCAAGCATTTTCCTCAGAGCAGTAATGTTTTCCTCTGTTACCGACGTTCGCGGCCTTCCTTCCCTCTCAGCGTCCTCCAGAGTGAAATTGCCACTTTGGAATTCTCTGTACCACCTGAATATAGTCGTACGATGAGGACAATCATTCTTTAATGCAAGCGTCATTTCTCCTAAGCACTGGTCTATGCTTAAACCACGCGTAAAGTTATACCCTAAAACTGCCCTTATCTCTCTACGTTACCACGATACCATAGTCCGCATTTTACACTGTGAATACGAATGAACAACTAAATCACGTGCTGCTGGCGGCTACTATGCACTCATGGACATGTCTCAACATGGAGGAACACGCAGGCACCTGCGTCCGTTTGTTAAGTCATATTGAAAAACGTTTATAGTACCCTTTGTATTTATAACATTAAGAAGGTAATTGCACCCTACTTGATTAAATTTAGCCCAGTGGCGTTTCGAGCTAGATCTGAGGGAATATTTGTATCAAAAAAATTTACGCCATTGACGTTTGTGCAATTTTTATTATGTAGTTTGGATTAAGCAAATAGAAATAAAAAATGTTTGCCTCTTCAATTATTTTCGTATCTTGCTTAGGTTTCGAGAAAAATAAGTTCACTTACTTGCATATCCCTGTACCACACAAGGAATATGGGGAAACGTTGCTTTTCGATACAAAAAAAATTCAAGATTCAAAAACGTTGTATTTCTACGAGCCCCTTCCCACTTCAGTTGGCCCACTTCAAGATTTGTACCAAAATATGCCTTTATAAACTAAACATGAATAAACTATTTACTTCTAAAACAATTTATTTTCTCAAAAACATTTTAGATGCAGTCTAGTCGTAAAAAATACATATTTGAAATCACTTAGACCTATAACTAATAGAACATCTGAACAAATAAACAATGTGCGAATAAATGGGCGAAGTTAACAAAGCAACAATTGAAAGATTACCATTGGGTAACATCACCTTTATTTTTCATTGCGGCTGAAATTCTTTGGGGCATAGTGTTAACCAAGTTTTGGCAAAAATTTGGTGTAAAACAATCCCATATTTCTTGAAGCTTTTATCTCAGTTCGGTGATTGTACGAGCAGGATGTTGTCGTAGAACCTTTTTCAACTCGTGCCACAAAGTTTCAATAGGTGACAGATTTGGACTGCTAGAAACCCATTTCAAAAGTGGTACATTATTTTCTTCCATCCATTTTATAGCCTTTTTTGAGGTATGGCACGCTGCACCATCTTGCTGAAACACAATATCTTGGCCGGATGTCAAACATTCTTGCATCACTGGTAAAAGCGATTCTTCTAAAATTGCCAAATATTTGTTTGTATCCACATTTTTATCAATAAAATGAAGTTTTCCTACTCCTTTTGATGACATACTGCCCCAGACCATAATGGATGCTGGAAATTTCACTTTTCTCTTCAGACAGTCAACATGGAATGCTTCATTTTTTTTGCGAATAACTCTACTGCGACTGTCACCAACACAAACTTCGAATCGGGCCTCATCACTCCATTGTATTGCACACCATTGTTGAGGTGTCCATTGTCTATGTTCTTTAGCCCATCTAAGCCGATTTTTCTTTTGCAGTGGAGTTAATAGTGGCTTTTCTTTGGCCTATAAACAAGTTGTGCAACTTTAGGGTTTTTACTTCACTTTTTTTATAAGTAAACTTACCTTGCAAGTGCTAAATCCCAGTTTGTGGGCCTCTCTATGATTTGTGGACCTCGAAATTCTCCTTCCAACAGCGTCACTCCACAGAGCACTTAATTGTAAATAATTGGCACGCCTGTTTTTCACGATTATTCTTCTTAATGCTCTTCGGTTGGCATTTGTGATATTACTTTTTTTCACATATCGTGGCTTAATATCAAACGAACCAGTTACGTTATATCTTCTAACAATATTTCTCACACTGTACCGCGATAAGTGTAACAAAGTTGCAATTTTCGAGTTTGATTTCCCAGAATTAAAAAAATTAATTATCAGTAACCGAATTTTCTCACTAATAACCTTTCCTCTACCCATTTTGAAAACCTTAACTACCCAAAACTATTTTAAATGTATTCTGACAACTGTGATTAATAAAAACAATTGTCATCTATTTTATTTTTCACAGCCGCCTATGCGTTATAGACTTATTTGTTGAAATGAAAATAGGTTGATATGCTGTAATTGCAACATGTGTTATTTTTATGCTGCAAATTTGATTAGGGAGTGATAAAGTTGGTGTTTTCTACTATATATTATCAAAATATTCATTGTTAATATTTTAAACCTATAACACCCTGCTACATTTTTATTATTTGTGTTTGATAAGAAAAAAACTTAGATTTCAATAGTTGGGCCAACTGAAGTGGGAAGGGGCTCGTATTTGCTTAATCCAAAGAATCTAATAAAAATAGCACAAAAGTCAGTGGCGCACATTTGTCACAAATATTCGTTCAGATCCCGCTCGAGATGCCACTTTACTTAATAAATTAAAAAGTTAGGGCTAAATTAGCTCCTAAATGCTATAAATGCCACCGACAAATTACAGCAAAATTAGATAAATGTTATTTAAGATATTTACGAAAAACCATTTTTTTAAATTTTATCACCCTTTTGACAACGAAGCTTTTGCGGACCTATGTTTATATTACTCAAAGAATGATCTGTTAAAGCACATAGTTAATTAACACCCTGTATATTGACATCAGATTGTCAATTGAACCTGAAAAACGCTACAGTCGGTAAATAGTATTTCAAGCGCATGTGGTATCATTTAGCGGCCAAACAAACATGAAGGATTACGATATCTGAGTATTTGAATTCGTTATTCTTATTCCAGGCCCATTCAGACTTCAGAAGTCGTCGTTATGACGAATCTTTCGTAGAGTACGCTCTTTTAGCTGAACTTGGATACGAAGTGGCGCAGAGCAATGCCGCATTTCTGCTGGACAGAGGAGAGGTACCAATGTTCACCAAGGAAGACGCGCTGGCTAGAGCACTGCTCTACTGGGGAAGAGCAGCGGTCCAAGGTTATTCAGCTGCACAGGTACTTTTATACAGCCTGTCAGGTTGTCTACCGACCCATTTTACTCATTATTTTCTCGGCAACACGTTCTTGCAATTTTTTTCCCTAAGATGTTTATTTTTCTTATTATTTTGCGATGTTCCATAATGCAGTAAGTCACAAACACATACTCAACCACCCTTGAATTGTTGATTGTAGCCAACTGTATGGTTCTTACTTGGAAAATATTTTCAAAAACATGACTACACCGAATTACAAATTAATCAAGAACAATTATAGATTTGGTAGTAACCAACGAACAAGATTTAATTTCAAAAGTTATGCATACTTCTAAAATTACTGATCATTCGTGGATATGTTTTGAAGTTTGAAGTATATTTGAAGCTAACGAAGTGGAAGAAATTACTAATATTAACTATGTAAAATTATTAAATTCGTTGATTTTGATAGCTACTATGCAAGCCTTTTGGATAATATTGAAGTTTGCATGAAAGAAGCTACAATAAATACATCAATTTATAAAAGGAAAAATCCTACGCCTTGGTTCTTACAGACGTTCAAGTATTCTAAATTAAAAAGGAAATCCAATTATAAGAAGTATATGATTACCGGGAGTGAAAATGATTGGCTAGGATACACAAGATCAAGAAACCAATCTGTAGCAGTTCTACGAGATGAAAATATATCGAAATTGATGACAGTAAAATGAATAGCAAACAGATGTGGAAAACATTGAAAAACATTGTCCTATTAGAAGAAATACATCATCTAAAATGAAGTTCGACGATGGGGTAATGGCAAATGAAAAAATAACAGCAGATCGAAGAATACCTATATCATAGAAAGTATTAGGGACATTGTAAGATCAATTTTTGACGGAGATCTCATCAAATGTCCCATTAGCTCAGATTATAATGCATCATTCAGTGAGTTTAGAACAATAAACATTAATAGTCTTTAAAAGATTCTATTAAAATTGGAATCAATTCAAAATGAGAGTTAGATTTTGTCTAAAAGGAAGCTTTGATATTGTTGGACCACGAATATCAATCCTGATAAATTACTGTTTAAAATATGGCGAATTTCCAACAAAACTGAAGTGTTCTACCATAACTCATGTTTCTAAAGTTAAGAATTCTGAGTTGTACACCAATTTGCGGCCAATAAATGTTCTGCCAGATGGTGAAAAAGTCTTATTTACGAACAGAATCAAATTTATTGAGGGAAATAACATTTTAACCAAATTTCAAGCTGAATTCAGGAAGAAACACTCAACTGAAACGGCAACACAAATGGTTTTAGAGGACTGGAGTAGATGTATGGATAATAGGAAACATACATTAACAGTGTTTTTAGACTTCAAATGGGTGTTTGAGACTATTGACAGGGATAAATTACTTACAAAATATCTCTATGGATTTAAAGGATCTGTGTTCAAAATTCTACAAAACTACTTGATTGACAGAAGTCAAATAACCAAAATTGGATCTGAATTATCACGCTCAAAAAATATTTATGTTGGTGTTATAAACTAGGTCCATTACTATTTATTTTATACATTAATCACATTTGTGATACTTAAGATTATTGTAAAATTCAGATATTTGCAGAAGATACATTGAATACATATATAAAAATATTGACACCACTTTAAAAATGCTAAATACTAACTTGGCAAAAATTGTAAATTGATTAAATGTAAATAAACTATAACTGAATGCTTCTAAAACAAAATATGTGCTAAATGAAAATACTATCACATGATAAATGGTCAAATAATTGAAAATATTGAATAGGTATATATGAGTATATTTTGATAGTAAACTCGTATACACCTTATTTAAAAAATTGGAAAAAAAAACAAATTACTTTCATAGGGCTTCTCATAGTCTTAGTACATATTAAAAAAAAGTTTATAATACCGCATTTGCTATCTTATTCACTGCCGCTGAAGATATATCCTACAAAATAATCTATGAGTATTACGTAGTCGTGCCATAAGTTCTGTCCCATGATAATCTCATGATAAAAATGAAACAAGATAAGATATATTTATATGAAAGATATTATTTATTCGACAACATTTTTAGAATTCATAATCAAACAGTTTTATTCAAAATGTCCCCCCTTGGCCTTCACACACTGCTTCAATCTCGCGGGCCACTCATCTATCACTGCACGCACAGCTTCCAAAGGAATAGCTGCCGCTGATCGGATCAAATCCGCTTTCAGGGACTCGATATTACGGTGGGCTTTGGAGCAGGCCAACTGCTCTAGCAGGTCCCACAACTTGTAGTCTAAAGGATTGAGGTCCGGACTCCCTGAGGGCCAATCTTCCGCAGCAATGAACTCTGGCACATTGCTTTCCAGCCAGCGCTGCGTACTCTTAGCCTTGTGAGCGGGGGCGGAATCCTGCTGGTAGACCCAGTGTTGGTTGGCAAACAATGTACCACTTAAAGGCTTGACGATAGGATCCAGTATGTCGCTCTGATAGTTTGCCGCTTTTGTTTTCACGCCCTGTTTACAGAAATGGAGCTGAGTGACCCCTTCGTAGGACACCCCCCACCAAACCATGACTGACGCAGGGCGGTGGCCTCTCTCAACTCTCGGAATGATCTCCGAAGCTTCCTGTGAACTCCTTGCATACACTTTGTCATTTTGTCGGTTGAATTTTTCTTCTATGGTGAAGACTTTCTCATCCGTGAACAAAATCTTTCGGAATCCCCCAGCTGCGTACCTCTCCAAGAGCTTCTTGGATCTTGTCGCCCTGATGTGTCGCAAGGTGGCCGTAAGTCGCTGGCCCGTACGTCTCCGGTAAGCCCCTAGCCCTAGGTCTTGTTTAATGATGCGCGATGGATAGGATCTTCTGCTTCCGGAGTGGATTCCTTTGAATCCTGGCTTTTACGGCTTTGATGGCTGCTGGAGTCCTTACTTGACGAGGTCTTCCGCTTCTTGGCCTGTCATCAACAGAGGACGTCTCATTGTACCGCTGAATGGTCCTAGACACAAATTTACGCGATATTTGAAGGCCGCGTAAGAGTTCAAAAATCTGACTAGCACTGTGATTACACTTATGTAAAGCTATCACGGTTCTCTGCCTTGCCCTACTCCATCGTTATGCTTCGAGAGATCAATACAAACTGAGGTATATGTAATTACCCGAAAAGCGCTTAATCAACTGACACCACAATGTAAACAATTGGACAAGTATTAACAGGTCTACACTTGTTTGAAAACGAGGGACAGAACTTATGGCATGACTACGTATAACTAGCAAATCAATATTTCAGAAAGTATTATAACGATATATAACGATATAATGTCTACTTTGTAATTTAAAGATGTTTTAAAAAAAATTAAAAGAATATTTCATGGACAGTGAAAATTCTTAAAGATGCAAATTTTGTTTTTCTAAATACTTGTAGGTAAAGTCATTGTTTTTGTTTTTAAAAAGAATGTTATTGTAGCAATCATGCTAAGTAAATCTTAAACAAACACACAGAGTACTAGTATATTTTTTGTTAGGATATTTTTCAAAATCATATTAGAAATCATGGCTTTATAAACCTTAATCAAATGCCGAAGCAATAGTTTTTTAAGCAACTGTCTCTATTTTGTGTTCCCTTCTAGTAATAATTTACAGGTAAAACTGGGCGACTACTATTACTACGGCCTAGGCACGCCAGTGGACTACGAAGTGGCGGCCGCCCATTATCAGCTGGCCTCCGAGCAACAACATAACGCTCAAGCGATGTTCAATCTAGGCTACATGCACGAGCGCGGTCTTGGCATGCAGAGGGACGCTCATTTGGCGAAACGATTGTACGATAGGGCCGCTGAGACCAGCATCGACGCTAGGGTGCCGGTGGCGTTAGCGTTGCTCAAGCTGCAGCTGGTCGTTGGACTCGAGAGCTTGCAGGAGGTAGGTATACAGGGAAGTAATAATAGGTTGTTCGGAAATTTGTTGCGGTTTTTGTTATTTATGTCTTAAAAGATGTACTTTACACTGAAATTTATTCATGATACTTCAACAACTTCCTTCGCGAGAAATGCTTCAATAACAATGGCGATGCCAAAAATGCCTTAAATCGCCTCCAGAACTCCGGATTTCTACGTTAGCGGCATAAATAAACTTGTTCCTCTTTGGTTTTTATTTTGATTGATATAGTCTTGTTAAAGCTGAGATATGCTTCTTTGAATTTGAGGGTACAAAACAGCAAGTACTTTCCGAACAACCTAATATCACACACCAATCTGCAACGAAAGAAATAACCGTTAAGTAACCATTTTTAAGCAGTTACCATTAATTTTGTTTTATTTGTTCTATATTCTTTTGAATAAAGCTTTTTTTGGTTCATGATTTTTTCCTTGTCCAAATTCAAAAAAAATATTTAGAAATAATTATCTGTTTGAACTATTGAGATTAGAAAATCACCTTTTTCTCATATTCTAGGTACTGTGTAATAAATTTCCTGTTAAGGTAGTTCTCATATTAGAACAGATCGTAAAACCTAAGATAGCCATTTTGCTGGTTAATCAACCCTTAGATTTTATAGCGTGTCGCTTATGAGCAAAGGTTCATTTCTAACCTCAATATCTCAAAAAAAAGTTGAATTCAGGCATGGACATATAAAAATGTTTAAAATCATAAGGTGAATCTTAAAATACAAAAATTATAAGGATTTTCCATTAAAAATGTTTGGCCTGCTTCACTTTTGGGCTACCCCGTTTATCAAACTTTTTTTTATAATGTTTACATAGATGTCCACTGACACTGACGGAACGGTCAGTAAATACTGTTGGTAGGTACCACAGTAAATACTGATCGTGTGACATTTCCCTATGGAAACATACATTTACGTTTACAAAGTTGAGTCATTTATTTTAACAGCTTGTAGAACTCGTCAAAAATCACCTACCGGGTGCGCCATATTTTCTGTTGGTATTGAAACATCGAATGACTTTGATATTAACGAACCGAGTGATTTGGTTATACGTGTTTCTGAAACGACAATTTACTACAATTTTAGTCATGAATCGCTTTACACCGAAACAACGCGCCGAAATAGTTACAATGTACATTGAAAATCGTCGTTGTGTTAACGCAACGTGCATATCGTCGAAAATATCGTGGCAAACAGGCACCGGCTGACAACACTATCCGTCGTTTGGTTTCGAATTTTCTTGAGTACGGGACAGTGGGAGATCGTCAACATACCGTTCATCAACGACCAATGAATTGGTTGAAGTGGTCAGAGACAGCGTTGCGAACCCAAAAGTGTCGTATCGTCACCGCGCTCAGCATTTTGGCATCAGTGGAACCACGTTGCGGTGCATTTTGAAGGATGATCTGCATTCGTTTCTTCATAAGGTACACTTAACACAACAAATATTGCCAACTGACCATCCCATCCACGTCGCTTGGAATACGCCCTAACAGTCGCTCGCATGGTTGTTGCTGAACCTGATTTTTGGAAGCAAATTGTGATGACCGACGAGGCCCATTTCACGCTCTCTGGCGGTGTAAATAAGCAAAACTGCCGCATTTGGTAGACGGTAAATCCACATGAGATCCACGAAATGCCGTTGCTTGACTGGGCCGGCGTTTGCGCCAAAAGCATCATTGGACCAATTTTCTTCAACGAAAACGAAACAGTCGATCGAAATCGATATCGGTGGATGTTGGCTCATTATGTCTGCCCACAAATGGGTGAAAAAGGTCTTGATGGCTTCAACAAGACGGTGCGCCATGCCACACTGCAAATGTAACAATCCAGTTTCTGCAACGAAAATTCCCTGGACGTCTGATGTCAAAAAGAGGTGACATTGACTGGCCATCCAGGTCTCCAGATTTGACCCCACCGGGCTTCTTCTTGTGGGGTTATTTGAAAAGTCAAGTGTACTCTAGCAAGCCCCAGACCACTGAAGAACTCAAGGCAAACATTCGAACCGCAATCGCCGCTATACCACTAGAGATACTCGAAAAAGTAATGGAAAACGCATTAAAACGGGCACATTTTGTTTTGTAAAATAAAGGTGGCCACTTGATAGATGTTGTGCTCAAAAACTAGTCCCAATAAATTGTAAACGATCATATTTAATAAAAATACTCGATATATAGAAATCAGTTTTTCGTTTTCAAAGTTATTTCATGTTTACATACCGACATGAAAGATGACGCACCTTGTATATAAAAGTTGCATATTAAGAGAGTTAGTTTACATTATCAAAAATTATTTTAAAAAAATCATTATCAAGTTAAATGGATGCCTTTTTTACAAAAACTGTTCAAAATTGTCCCCATTTGTTCGATTTATGCAAAATCTTGCTCGGCGGATCCACGACTCTTTGTAATCTTCGAAAATAAAATCCAGGTGTCCACCAATTTTATCACAAGTATTTTCAGTCCACTGTTGAAGTTCTTCCAGACTATTTACTGCTGCTTCATCATGATACACCAATTCTTTCAAACAGCTCACAGAAAAAAATCGCCAAGCGTTAAATCCACCAAGAAATGGGTCGATTGCGCCCTATTCACCTATTTGGAAATTCATTCTCGTCTACAATGTGGTGAAGCCCCATTATTTAGGAACCACATATTCTGTCTCACATTTAGCGGAACATCTTTTGATAATTGTGACAGATTGTGTCGAAGAAAATCTAAATAAATTTCACCGATCAGTCGAGGTGGAAAAAAGTATAGTCCAATAATCATGCCATTTACCACGCCAGCAGAAACATTTAATGAAAATCTATGTTGAAAATAAGTTCTTTTCAAACATGATTGTTGTGAAAGTTATGCACTCCATTTTGTATAAATGTGGCCTCGTCTGTACACAAAATTAATTTCGTAAAATCTTCATTTCTGCCGAACTATTATAAAATATAGATAATTTTCTTTTGATGTCGGTGTGTTCAATCATTGATGCAATCTTTACAATAGACTAAATAATGCTATATATCTATGTTTGACATTCAATTCTAAATTTTTTTTTCTAAAAAGCCCATTCATAACGCTTGATATTGAGTCTTTGCTTGAGCTCTCTTTTATTTGAATAATTTCTGTAGTATCTTTTGCAGACGCCATTGTACAATGCGGTGGACTTGAACAGTACTGTGGGCTCCAATTGGGACTTATATTTGATAACAGCTCTGGCCGCCGTCCTTGGTGGAATCGTGTATTTCAGAAGACCTCAACTGCCACAGTGAACTGGGACACGTGATATTCCCTTATTTATTTTTCGTGATGTAAATATATGGATAGACTTAATTTAATTGATAAACACTTTATGTTTTCCTTGTTATTATTTAATCAATAAAAATATGTCTCATTATAGAACAAATTTTATTTTCTTGCTTCTTTCACCCAGGAAACAGATTAAGAAATTGTTATCGTATCAAAAATCCGATTAGTTTGGAGTGATAACTTTTCACTTATTTGTTGATTGAATATTGCTGCTTTACGTTGGCTGCAGTGGCGGCCTAAGGGGGGGGGGGGTGTCGATAAAGCGGACAATATATGGGGGCCTCCAGAGGTATATATGTAAATCGAATCCGGGTGAGCGCAGGGACGCTTTTTGTTCGTCAAAGTACAGTACTGTTTTTTGGAAGCATTGAACTGTACAAGATTGTTGCGTCCCCAAGCAGTGATAGCCTCCAGGTCTCTTGTCAGAGAGGAAATCATCGCTAGTCTTCTGTTTTCCAACTCAGCGGCAGAGATCGGCTTTTCACTCTGAATTCCTGCATGTAAAGTGCTGTCATCAGCGAAGCTGTGGATTGGGTTGATCGTGCAGGAAAGGAGGTCGTTGATATGTAAGAGAAACAGTGTCGGAGCCAAGACCGATCCCACCCGCGTTGACGTTATGGGATGAAGAGGAGTACCCATCAATTACGACGGATATCTTGCGGCCAGAGATAAAGACAGCCACCCATCTGCAAAGCTTTTCTGGGAGGCCATAGGATGGATGTTTGCTTAAGAGGGCAGCGTGCCACAGCTGATCGAATGCCTTCGTGATGTCAAGAGCAACGACATGAGCCTCACCATAAGACTGGATGAGTTTACTCCACAATTGCGTGACGTAAGCTAGGAGGTGCCTGTCGCTAATCAAGCTGTGACTTTCGAGGTAGTCCAGAAATGGGTAGTCCACAAATGCACCTCTTCATCACCTTACTTAAAACAGAATGCAGAGCGATAGGCCTGTAGTTGTAAAGGTCGTTCTTAGATCCCTTTTTTGGTATGGGTTGGACATGAGCAAATTTCAAGTTTTCTGGGAAGGTGCCGGATTCATAAGATATCTGGAAGAGACGCGAAAGAACTGGAGCATGCTCCGCTGCACACCTCTTCAGTACAATGGCAGGAATCAAGACCGGACCAGAAGCTTTGTTGATGTCGAGCGACAAGAGCACTCGTCTTACGGTCTTATGCCTGAATGTTACCTCCCGCATAGTGTAGGGAACCCTTTGAATTGACGGCACTTGGGCGTTGAGGGGGACGTCCATGGTGGAGTTGGTAGCAAAGATCTTGGCAAGCACTTCCGCCTTGGACTTTGAGTCGGATACAATCGTTCCATCCTCACACGTGTGTGTGGTGGAAGGCTACTGTGTGAGAAGTTCTTTTCAATCTGCTTGGCCAGCGTCCAGAAAGACCGACTGTCATTGCGCTGCGACATTACCCTGTGCCTAACTTTTATATCGTGCTGGTTTTTGGCATTGCGAACCGCTTCGTTATATTTGTTTCTGGACTCAACGTCGGCTTGTCTGTTCTCTACAGTGGGGTTTTGTAAGAAGGTTCTGTGTGCCTTGATGTTGCTGAGATAAGAACGAAATTCAAATCCATGGCATCGATACCTCTTGCCGTTTTTGCGATCCTTATAGAGATCTATATAGGTTTTTGAAAACCGCACTGTCGACCAGACTTTTCGTAAAATTGGTGGACAACGAGTTGCTATTACAGAACCGCGAGGAGGTATGTGAACAGTACTGTTCTCTATCTATGATACTCGCTCGAATTTTGATCCTTGGCATCTATGCTCCTCGCCATTTTTGCAATCCTTATACAGATCCATATGTATCTGAAAATCGGATTGTCGATTAGGCTTATTGTGAAATTGGTAAACGACGAGCTGCAATCAGGATCACATAAACTCGAGGAGAGATGTGAATGGTACTCTGCTTATGCTATGATGTTGGCGCTAAATTTTGATCTTTCGCATCTATGCTCCTAGTCGTTTTTGCAATCCTGGCACAGATCTATAGGTTTCTGAATATCGCACTGTTGACCACAGCGATCTTAAACAAAAAATGGTAGATTGGAGACTTGTTATCAAGTTCACAGAAACGCGAGGTGGTTTGCAAATAGTACTCTGTTCCTGCTATGAGATAAGAACGAAATTCAAATCCATGGAATCTTTACCTCTTGCCGTTTTTGCGATCCTGATACAAATATGTTTCTGAAAATGGCACTGTCGACCAGACTTAGCGTAAAATTGGTGAACGACAAGTTGCAATCAGGATCACTGAAATTCGAGGAGAGATGTGAATGGTAATCTGTTTATGTTTTGATGGTAGACGGTGTCTTGCTATCAGGATCACAGAAACGCGAAGAGGTATGCCAATAGCACTGTGTTCTATCTACGATACTCACGTGCAACTTGGATCCTCGGCATTTATGTTCCTCGTAGTTTCTGCGATCCTAATGCAGATTTATAAGTTTCTGAAAGTCGCACTGTCAATCAGACTTTCTTCGTAAAATTGATAGATAGGACATTTGTTATCAGGTTGATAGAAACGTACCGAGGTATGATAATAGTACTCTGCTCCTGCGATGAGATAAGAACGAAATTAAAATCAATAACATCGATGCCTCGACATTTCTGCGATCCTGTGACAGGTCTATAGGTTAAATTGGTGGGCGACGAGTTGCTATCAGGATCACAGAAACGCGAGAAGATCTGTGAGTGGTATGCTGCGTCTGCTATGATGTTGAGGCGAAATTTTATCTTTGGCATCTATGCTTCTAGTCGCGACTGCAGTCCTGATACAGATCTATAAGTTTCTGAATATCGCACTGTCGTCCACAGCTTCTTCGTAAAATTGCTAGATTGGAGAAACACAAGTATGTATGCAAATGGTATTCTGCTCCTGATATGCGATAAGCACGAAATTATATGCCTCTTGCCGATTCTGCGATCCTGATACAGATCTACAGGTTTCTGAAGTTTGCACGGTCGGTCAGAGTTTTCTCGTAAAATTGGCGGGCGACGCGTTGCTATCAGGATCATAGAAATGCGGGGAGGCATGCAAATGGTATAGGTACCTACTCTGCTCCTGTCTTCGAAAATTGCACAGCCGACCAGAATTTTCTCGTAAAATTGGTGGACAGTCACTTACCATCAGAATCACAGAAACGCGAGAAGGCATGTGAATGGTACTCTGCTTGTGCTATGAAAAATATTTTATTATAACCACCTAATAATATAAGGCAAAAGTTAAATTTCCTTGTTTTATTTATATGAATTCACCTAGTGAAGATAGTGACGTCATAATGTCGGCATTTTTAGGGTACTAATAACGTACACCGCCCAACAAAAATGGCGTCATGACGATTTAGTGTCAGACCCAATTGTCGTCATTATATGACGTCATAGTCATAAAAGACCAAATGCAAAGTCGATTTGACGTCTGGATGACGTGGATATGAAGTCAATCTGAGGTAGATATGAAGTACAGTCGCTCGCAAAAATACTCGGTATATCCAAATGCTCCTGAAAAATTGAGGATGTGACAACGACGCCCCACAAGTAGTACGTTCAGGAGTAGTAGAAGGGTGTCGAAACTCATTATACTTACCTACCACTCTTGAACCCTCTCGTTCCGAGACGCATCACCTCCGCAATTTTTCAGGAGCTTTTGTATAAGGTCTATCGAAGTGTTTAATAAAGAACTAAAAATGCCGTTTAATCTCAAACACGTTCCAGTCCTTCGATGATTCAGAATTTGTTTGTAGCAGTTGATAACGAGCGCTTTGCTTTTTCGCAGGATGCCAGGAAGTCATCGTGATGTCGGTCAACCCATATATTTATAAAACAAAATGGCTGAACCATTGCCAAACGGCGAACGCGCTTTATTACAAATAATAATAATAATAATGTTTATTGTCACAAAATACAGGTAAATATTAAATATTGTGCACAATAAACATAAAGCACCCAAAAAAGTTTGCACTTGTGTTTGGGTTTGTTAAAAATGAAAACTAAAAGTACAGTCAGTGTTTGAAAAAAAAAACGTAAATACTATATAATTTGGTGAATGGTGAATTGAATTATTATGGGGATGTCAGGAAAAATATCCAGACAATTAAAACCAAAGTAAAAGTATGGATGTTGGTGTAAGTAAAATATTATTGATTTTAATAATGACTTCATATCTACAATTTCGTGGATGGAACATCTTGGTTGTTGTAAAATCAATTTTTTTAGTTCCTTTTTAAATGATCTAATTGGTTTAATTACTTTTAATAACTCTGGTATGAAGTTATAGAATTTTGGTCCCAAGAAAAACAGAGATCGTTGTGTAATGAATTTTGATTGGAATGTTGTTCGGTAGTTACGAATGTTACGATTCAAGTATTTCGAATATTTAATATAATGTATTAGACCACAATAAAAATAAATTTTGTCTGCAATCTAATAGTTGAGCCCCCATATATAGAGAATGGCTTGAATAAGGAATCTCCCTATGGAGGATCAATTTTAGAATTAATTTTTGGATTACTTCAACCTTTCTGTAATTATTATTTATAACTCGTCCCAGGCCAAAATTCCGTAAAGTAATAGAGGATAAACAAGAGTATAATAAAGATTATATAGGTATTTCTTATCCAGAATATCTCTGAAGTACCTGAATTTTGGAATAATATATCTCAGTATCTTCACAAGGTACTCTGTATGGGTATTCCATTTTAAATCCATTAAAAAATCGTGGATCAAGCGACTAGCGGCACCCCCAAAATCGTGGGTCTGGCGGCACCCCAAAATCGTGAGTCTGGCGACACACTCAAAATCGTGGGGCTAGCGACACCTCCAAAATCGTGGGGCAAGCGGCACCCCTAAAATCGTGGGGCAAGCGGCACATTCAAAGTCGTGAAGCTGACGGCTAGCGGCACTCCCAAAATCGTGGGCGCAAGCGGCACCCCAAAATCGTGGGACACGCGACTAGCGGCAACCCCAAAATCGTGAGGCAAGCGGTACCCCAAAATCGTGGGGCATGCGGCTAGCGGCTCCCTCAAAATCGTGGGGCAAGTGGCACCCCAAAACCGTAGGGCTTGCGGCTAGCAGTACCCCCA